GGACCGTGGTTTATGACGACACTATAGTAAAATTATTCATGCACTAAAAAGTTCACCCAAGAAGGTTTAAAGAAAGACCATCCTTTTAACACCATGACCGGCATGAATTTGGATTACTGTATATGTTGAATAACTGTTTCTAGCTTTGTACACTAAGACTGTAACATTGATTACTTTATTACCGTGGGACAGTAGTTTATGATAACACTACATCATGCACTGCCAAGTTGACCAAAGAAATACCATCCTTTTAATACCATGACCGATATGAATTTGGATTACTGTATATTCTGTCTCAAGCTTTGTGTGCTAAGGCCACAGCAAATAATTTTTATGGATGACATCATTAATTTTCGCCTGGTTTTGGAAAAAAAAAACAGTGGTCAACATACCGAAAATTGGCAAAGATGTCTGTTGCCATGCCGGAAGGTGGATGGTAGATAACTATAAAGAGAGGAGACAAGAAAAGGCTCTGATTTAATGTTTTGTGTCTTACTTTGATGCAGTGATATGTGGTGTTGGCTGTGTATATGTGATGTTCCCACTGAATCAAAGCCATTTGTACAATGATTGAGTCAAAATATTTCAAAACGTAGGAACCTTTGAGGATTTGGAGTCTGCGGAGGATGTCATCCATAAAAGTTACTTGCTGTGGCCTATTTTGACTCACTGTCTTAAGCTTTGTGCGCTACATTGATTGCGTTATTACCGAGGGACAGTACTTTATGACGACACTACACATATCATGCCCTCCCAGCTTCACCCAAAGACGCCGACCCATTTAACCACACGACGTTGAACCGTATTCTCTCAGGTCGCAGAACGAACGACTTTAATAAAACCTGGCAGGCAGGTTTATGAGATAGGAAATCCAGCCAATGCACTCACTCGTCCCCTGAGCCTGAAACAAACGGCTAGAATTACAAAGTGCCCTGTACAGCGCTGCAGTAGAGAATCTCACGCTTAAACTGACGTGGGTAAAATGTAAAAAGTTGAACCTGTAAACAGTTGCCTTAGAGAATCGTTACTATAAAAATAACCGTAATTTGTTTAATTGATTTATTTTTTATTGTTTTGGTTTACTACCTTTCCATTACTTCTTTATTGTTATTTATATTTCATTTGATAAATCTGTAAAAATTGTAAAATCATGATGGGGGAGGAGATCATACAACCTTAATGGTTTTTCTTCCACCCCCTGCACGTATACTTAACTGTAGTATATTTTGTAAAACTTTTATCATGTATGCAAATAATAACATTTGGCTAACATTTTAATCCTTCACTTAGGTTTCTTACTTGTTTGTGATTTCTATCATTTCATCAAAAAGATATAATAGTCCAATATCATTAACTTGAAACACCATCCAACGCTACATTAAAGTAGAACTTCAGAATACCTAGAATATACACAGAAGAAAGGATGAATAGTATGACATTTTTGTAAGACTAATGGAGATCCTAAAAAAACTGCATGAGCGCAAGCTGTCGTTAAAAATCTCTCAGACACATTGATTTTCTTGTCAAAGTGGTGGCTAAATGTTAAGGGTTGCTATTATTATTGTTACATTGATTTTTTTTATATAATTCATAGAAACGGGGACAAGTGTATGCAAATGAAATGCTGACACTACTTGTGATCAAAGCAAGGAGCTTCGGTTGAAGGTCCTTTAACAAAATAATGCCAATGTGCCGGAGGCAAGGACTGCGGTTAGATCCAATAGAAGCAATCAGCGTTCGGACAAGAAAGGTTAGATTTAAGCCACAGATGCTATTTATATACATAATGTATTTGGGGGATTCGATGTCCTAATTTTCCATGTAATTGTGTACGTAGACGCACATAATCACGCACGCACACAAATTCACCTGAAGGCGATTCATTGAGAAGTATCATCGTATACATTTCATCTTATCTGACACTGTAATTTGATACTTAACTATCGGGGCACCAAAGAAGATCTGTCGACCAGTACGTTTTTTCCAGTTTCTACCAGACTACGCTGGCTACTCGTATATAGGAGAATAATTGCCAGGAGAGTTGGCCGCCTTGTAGGTTTGATTGGCCACGAAAGAAACTTCCTCCCGCGGCCGGACTCCCTTGGTCAATTTTACTCTCTTTTTTTGCTGAATTCTACGATCCGTATTTCTCCACATAAGTTTTCTCCACCCTTCCCCATCTCGGTTTTCTGTTCTCCTTAACGTTTTACTCAGTGCCGTGACATGCTGTTCTCTAATATCATCCTCCCATTTTCTCCGTTGTCTCTATCCCTCTCTTCCTCCCTGGATTGTTCCTTGCATGATGGTTGTTGGTAGTCCCGATGACCGGCCACTTCAGTGTTTATTCATGGTGGTTAGGGGGTCTTCGTATGCACCTAAGGCCGCAGCAAATAATTTTTATGGATGACATCAGGGCGCGTTAATTTTCGCCTGATCTTGGGACAAAAAAAAAGAAAGAAATTTTATTGCCTTCTGACAGTGGTCAACATGCCGAAAATGGGACAAAGATGTCTGTTGCCATGCCGGAAGGTGGATGGCAGATAACTATGCATATGAAGAAAGGAGACAAGAAAAAGCTCTGATTTAATGTTTTGTTTCTTACTTTAATGCAGTGATATGTGATGTTCCCACTGAATCAAAATCATTTGTACAATAATTGAGTCAAAATTTTCAAATGTAGGAACCTTGTTTTTTTTCGCCCGTTCGCGTTAGATTTGGAGTCTGTGGAGTATGTCATTCATAAAATTTACATGCCGTGGCCTAACAAAAGTGCGGCAAATTGAACCTATCCCTAAAGCGAGAAGAAAGCTTTTAGAGCTGTATAGATACAAACTCCCAAGTGTCCTATCATCTGCAACATTGATGTAGCCGTTAGGTACCCCTAGAAGTCTTTCTAAATATTCTATTCTACACATAATTTTATTGTATATTCCAACATGTAATCACAAGACGTGATGACGGCACACTCAAGTTTTTTTCAACTTTTACTAATGCCGCCACCAATACAGGGGACAATGCAACACTCATTTTATCAAAGTGAGGAAAGTCGTGTATCATAATTTCTAATCAGTTAGACAATATTTGCGTTTCAGAATGTTGCAGTGTAATTATTAGGCATAGGATGGAAAAGTTCATTGCAAAAACGCAATTCCTAACAACATCGTACATCACAAAATGTAGGAACCTCTTCGTCGACAACCAGGCTTCATAGCTCCCAGCACTTGATACTTCGTGCATAAGTCATAAAGAAAAAAACGGTGACAGGCATTTCCTTCTTGTAAAAGCGGGGAAGTGTTTACATCCGCACTCTGCCTCACCTACAAGTTACTGCTGCAAGTGTCAAGCACTCTCCAGAGATCATGCAGAGACAATTTGACGAAGGATGAAAATAGAGTACATCACAAGTACGTGGGTTGCATGGAATAAATGAAGAGTAAATGAGGCATATATTGTCTTGTGCTTTCATCTTGATATCTCAAACGAGGTGTTTCAGATCTTCAGAGGTTTTGAGTGCGAGAATAAAGTCTTCAGATGCAGGAACTTCAAAGTATCAAGTATCAAAGTACTACAGATCATATTGGAGAGCTTCCGTTTGAATTAAACTATCTTATTATATATGTTCCGGAATGAGTTAGACTTCGATGGATGAAGAGTTTGCGTTTCGAACCGTCCCTAACCGAAGCTAGGTACTTGTTTTCACCTGAGTGAAGTGAGGAAAGTCGTGTTTAAATGCCGTTCCCAAGGGCACAACATCGGTGCATGTTGGTGGATTCGAACCCAAAACCTATGGGTTCTGAGCCGGCCACCCAAGCATTACGCCACACGCGATCCCCAATATATGTATCCGTATCTGTATAGACGGTATAACCACCAATCGGCGTTAAACACCAGCTGCGCAGGCACGCGGCGCGGCGGCAGCTGGCTTTAACAACACCGAACGACTTGTTACACCTATCCGTTTAACATATAATTCTAAACATCGTTTAAAACTATTTTCCAGATGACTAAAATTTGTTGTATCTTAATTTTATTATTTGTATGTCACTTTTAAAATGTATTTACCCTAACTGAAAAGTGTTACCACTGAGTGTGTTAACCTGTGTAAAAAAAGACGGAAAATGAGAAGAAAAAAAAGAGAAACAAGAGTTCCGAGATCTCATACCTCCATGAAATATGGGCTTGATATGTAAATTTCTTCTTTAATTGCGCAAATGACCTCTGTATTAACATGATATATGCATCGTGATGTATGTTAACTTTTGATTAACTTAAAGATGTCCCAAGTATGACATTCCCATCATTCACCATTGAGAAATCATAGATTTTTTGCATTAATTATGCAAATTAGGTCATCATTTGCATAATTAGTATCTGTTGATGTTTCATCCGCCATAGGTTACATACATTACATGTATGAAAGTTCTATAATGTAAAACACTGTAATTATAGAATTTCCTCATTAATTATGCAAATAAAGTCCTCATTTGCATAATTTGCAGTTAATTATGTACATCTCTCTGTCAGATACCTACACACCAAAAATGATGAAAATACGCTGTTCCTATCTGGACTTATTGGCTTTTAAAGATTTCGCCCGAAAGTCACCTGCAGTTCCTGAACAAGCTGCTAGGGGGACCAAACCCACACCACTCATTCCTGACAGGAAAAGCTATCTGTCACCAAAAATTCAAGACCATAGCATGTTCAGGACCAAAGATACAAAAACCGGAAGTTCTGCTGCAGTACCAAGGTCATCCACCAGGAGGCCCATATTTGACCTTGACCTTTGTCTTCCAAAGACTTATCAGCATACCAAATATCATCACAATCCATAAAGGTGTTATGAAGTTATGCTGACTACAAAGTTGCGGAAACACACACAGACACACAGACACACACACACACAGACACACAGACAGACGCCGCCAAAAACAATACCTCCATTTTTCATGGAGGTAATAAAATAACCTCGGATTTCTTGTCTTTGCGGTTCAGGCACGATGACATGGAACGACGTGACGTCAGCAGACGACATGGACGTGTTCGTGGACAACGTCACGACCAGCGGTTCCTATGGCAACGGGACGGGGCTGGAAGATGCGGACACGCTGGTGCCAGCTGCAGGACCGACCGCCGGCACCATCGCCACAGCCGCCGTCCTGTTCCTGATCGCTGTACTGACTGTGGTGAGTTAGGAGACAAACAGGGCCTTTTCTTGACATGACAAAAAAGTGTACTAATCTCAAATCTCCTACGGCTTGTGGAAAGACAGTATCCATTGGTCAGGGGAGTGTGGCTGATGGACACCCCTCTGGTCAGTGGATACGGTCTTGCCACCGTAGGATCTGCTCGGAGATTAAAATTGTAAGTAAATATTATGAACATGTACACATCCACCTGATTATATCTCGCACATAGTTTGAGGCACTGAAATCACTGCGAATCGCCCCTGCAAGACTACAAGAGTCACAACCGGATAATTACTGACTTTCGCGATAGATGAGGGGGACGGGTTTTTCGCATGTGCTCCCGCACTCGCTCTAACGGTATACAATTACGATCCAGGCTTTAAAAATGTATACATAAATGGCCTGCAAGACACTGAGTCGGCTGGTGTTCGGCCAGGTTGGCTACTATTCGGCCGAATGTTGGAACATTTTGTACCCATAGGTGTGTTTTACCTTACAGGTAGGGAACGGCCTAGTCCTGTTAGTCGTCGCCAAGCACAGAAGTCTGCAGACCCGCACCAACACCTTCATCGTGTCTCTCTGCGTCTCCGACCTGCTGGTGAGTGTGAAGAGGATTATGGTTGAGGAAATGAGGCGAATTGACGATGGCAATCTTACATCAGGGACTGAGTCATGTACTGATGGAGGAAATTGAAAGTGTCTGAAGTGCCGTGAAACTGGGTTCATTTCCGCTTACTATGGAATAAAACAAGCGTTTACAGTCGACAATATTGTAAATCGTTGTTGTGAAATTAGGCGATGGTCTTTTTGGCGACACCCCTGGGGCGGAGCTTTTATATGCGTATACACGTGTTTTATTGCCTACAGGTTAGACTAACTGGCATGGGATGGACGTCGACAGTAATCTCCAAGCAGATATCTGGCGGCAAAAGCCTTACGGTTAGAACTGACTATTTAGAGAGTCCTCAGGCGAGGGGACTAAACGTTACGATTACAGACTAGGGCGGCTGAGGACTGTCTCTAGATAGCCAGTTTTAACCGTAACGCTTTTGCCGCCATACGTCTGCTTGGCAATTACTGTGTGACAGGGGCTTTACGAGCTTAATCATGACCATCTTGTTTCTGCTGCAGGTTGGCGCGCTGGTGATGCCGCCGGCCGCCCTGACCAATCTGTACGGGGAGTGGATCTTCCCGCAGCCCTTCTGTCCCGTCTGGGTGTCCTTCGACGTTATGCTCTGTAGCGCCTCTATCCTCAACCTCTGCGCCATCAGTCTAGACAGGTAGGTACGAAATGTCTTTTGTTTGTCTGGACAGGTCAGTACGCCATTTTTGCTTATTGTTTATTTGCGTCATGCTGTGTAGCGCTTCCATCCTGAACCTGTCTAGGCAGATCAGCACGACATGTTTTTGTTTGTTTGTTTGTTTGTTTGTTTGTTTGCTGACGTGGTCGGCTGATGTTCGAGGACAAGGTCGGGGAAACATCCTGAATGTGTGACAGAGGATTAAAATATCCGTTCTTCCTCCCTTCTCGTACCCAGGTTCATACAGATCACCAACAGTCTGCAGCACGGCACGTACATGACGGGTACCCGGGTGGCCATCCTCATCGCCGCCGCCTGGCTCCTCTCCATCCTCACGTCATTTCCGCCCATCAGCCTCGGGCTACACGAGCACGACGGCTTCCCGACCCTCACCAACCTCACCTCCCTTACCCCCACCCCGCAGTGCATCTTCGACCCCAACAAGACCTTCGCCCTTACGGCTTCAATCGTGACGTTCTACATCCCCATGACGACCATCCTGTTCACCTACGGGACGATTTTCCGCGAGGCCAAACGACAAGCCGCTCGGGTGGCCGCTCTGAACGTCCAGCTGCAAACCGTCGACGGACAGGACAGCAACAACAGAGCTAAAGGCGTGACGTCTCTGAAGGCCATGCGGACACTTGGCATCATCCTGGGGGCGTTCATGATCACCTGGCTCCCGTTCTTCATCGCCAACGTGGTGCGGCCGTTCTGCTACTGTGTGTCCGGGCAGGTGTTCGAAGTTCTCACCTGGCTGGGGTGGACGAACTCCGCCCTGAACCCCGTCATCTACCCCTTGTTCATGAAGGACTTCAAACGCGCGTTCAAGAAGCACATCCCGTTCTGTAAGCGAGTCGACGCGGAGAATTCTGCAGGAGCGCAGCTGGGCAGACCGCAGCCATCTAGATCTGCCTCAGAACGGGTTGGCGGAAACAGCGATCCGGTCCGGGAGGCGGAAAACGCTATCCTGTCTGGTTGCCGGGGAGATAGAAGAAGAAGCGGACCCACCCCCAAACAGCCGACGAGCACGCACACTGTCGTGGACTCCGTGAGTGACGAATGGCCCCTCCTGGCCACATCCGTGTTCCCGTCGGTCGCCCCTGTGACCACACGGTGCTCAAGCGCCCCTCCCAACCTTCACGAACTAGAATCATTGCAAGCACATACTGTCCAAGCAGAGGTCTAGGATGGGGATCTCTTTTTTGTACTGCCTGGGCAATTTGATACTGCCTTTGCAGCAACTAAAATATCTGCTTGGAGATTAGGTCAGAGGTGGTCACACATACGTTTGACTTTATTTAGTGTAGTTAACACCACGCAACAATCAGTTCTATCTGAAGTGATATAAATGTGTTTCATAAATTTATACAGTGCAGAGTATTCCTTGGTGGTTTATATGCTGTGAAGTATTCATTTTAATGTACGATTTGTATGATCTGAGTATAGGAAGAATCGAAGAAACCTTTACTATTCACAGTTAGTGTTTGTATGATTTAGTGGTTTCATGAGGTACTACCTTGTTCTTTGTAAATGAATGTTTGTAAATCGTGTTCAAGACTAAAGAGTTATATTATCAGGCTATATGATTATATATTTATGATTATTATATATAATAATCTATATGTCACGCATTTGCATAAACAATAAAGTTTCAAAGCAACTCACGTTTTGAATAGCAAAGTTCTTTATTCACAACCACTTGTTTTGAAGATATTCACAACCACTCGTTTTAATGACCGCCTGTCATCTTCATCGGGGTAATCATGGAGGTGACTATCTAAATTTGTCCGGATCGAGCAGAATGGATTCGGTTTGATTCGGTTTCGAGCCGGATCGGAGCCAGATCGAGCCGGATTAAAGCCGGATCAAACCGAATCAATTCTTCTCGATCCGGACAATTTTATCCTTGTGGGAATGTTTTACATATGTAGAACACAACTGCAGCTGAGATTGGCTCTTCATGCGGCCCTTCGCGTACAATCAGACCTCGTCAAAACACACAGCACGGGCCACTGGGTGAAACAACATGCCTGCTACAATCTATCATAACGGATAAGTTTTAGACAGTGTAGGAGTTTCAAAGCCCTTCAGACAGCTCTTAGGCTGGGCTTGTCGGAACCTTTTCACCCCAATATGTCTGTGTCTTCCTACTGAGGGTATTCTGTGGTGCTGATGGATTGGTGTGAGGCATGACTTCTCGTGTGGGATTGTGTAGCGCAACGGTTGATGTTAGGCCCAGAATCTAGAGGTCATGGGTTCTAATCCTTCAACATGCCCCGATGTTGTGCCCGGGGGCGTTGGGCAGCGACAACAGGGAGCCGGCGGTAACAACGGTGGTATGGCTCCCAGGTTACGTACAATAAGTCAGTGGATGCCATGTCTAGGACATAAGACATGAAAACAAGTTGTCATGCAGTACCAAGGAAAACCGTCAGGGGCCCAAATTTGACCTTGACCGCCGTCTTCTGAAGACCTATGACCAACATATTAAATATCATCACTACCCCTCCAGAGCTGTTATGTTGACCGCAAAATGCGGAAACACAGACAGGCAGGCACACAAACACACCCCATTTTCATGGAGGTAAAAGCATGATGCATAATTCACAGTATATCATAGTAGTCATGTTAGAATTGAAGATATAAATAGAATCAAAGTAGTCATTTCTCAACTTCACTGTGTTACACCAGAGGGTTGGCCCCTTTGAGGTTTTAGTTTCGCTGCATGAATGTTGGAACGTACTGTGCCTGCGCGAAAACAGTATTTTCACGGTTTTCATTCTTTGGTTTAATATGGTTGCAGAGGAATTTTACCCTTTGCATGAGATATCTTTTCTGACACAACATGCTAAAACTATAGACGGCATGTCATTTTTAATACCCGAATACGGCCTTAAATGAGACGTTCTGTCCAAACTACATTTCGCAGGCGTCGTACGTAATTCCAATGTGCTCCTGTAGTCTATATGTACCAGTACATACATGTAGGCCTGTAGTGTAGGTGTAGGTTTTGGTTTATAATTGGCGTGTTTTTAGTTTTTTTTTTATCGTGGTTTCTTTTTTGCACTGGAATTTTTTTCATCCAACCCCAACATAATTCAAGTGCGAAAAAGAAACTCCGATAAAAAAAAACTAAAAATACGCCCAAAATAACCCAAAACCCAAACCCCTGCTTGGAGAGTAGCCCTGTTACAGCTACCCTGCTGTTAGCACTCTCCAATCAGAGGTTGTGGGGGAATGATCGTTAGCTTTTTATAGCTTTTTATTTTTTGTCACTAATCCCACCATCGGTGGCCGGCGACCCTCTCTGGCTAATTGATACTGCCTGGCCAATTTGATACTGTCTTTTCGCCACCGAAAGGGATCTGCTTGGAGATTAGCTGTTAAGGCATACCAAACACCTGAGAGGTTAATACAAAGATCTCATAAGACACGTACACGCAGCGTGACCTCAGGTAACCTGCACCTTGTTTTGACCCCGGGGCGGTGGGAGGGCAGAACAATCGCAGGCTTCACAGCCGTGTAACAAGGTTATACTGAGAGGAATACATCTGAATTCCAGTTCGTGTCAGAGTCAAGGGCGAAGGATATTGAAAAGACTCTTAAGATGCAGCAGCCATTGTTGCTATGTAATAACTGCACTGTATATTCTTTTGATCATTTCTTATATTTCTTACTTTCGAAAACGACAAAATAAGATCCATAAAGATATTGGGAAGTAGTGGTGAACTTTGTTTTGTCATGTTATGTTGTGACGGATAGGTTTTTTTATTATTAATAATAGTACATGTACTTACATTATTTTCTATTAAGATCATATTCTATTACCTGCTTTTATGTTTCAGTTCTGTTGTTACATATGTATGTGTGTTACTTGTATACACGCCACGTTTTCTTTTGAATATATTTTTGAAATTTTCAAAATAAAGAAAGAGTTGTGAAAAATAACTGTATTCCCCTCACGATATATCCAGTCGAGTCGAATCCTTATATAAATTGTTAGGGGATCAGGCATAAAGACTGAATAAATGACGCGTCCAGTTTTAAATCCAATGTCCTCACCTACATCCTTCTTGGAATCCACTCTACGCCTACTTTCCAAGCAGAGGTTTGGGTCTTAAGCTTATTTTCGTCGTGTTTTTAGTCTTTTTTTTCGGCTTTCTATTTGTGCTGGTATCTTTTATTTTGTGAAAAAAAAAAGACACCAGTACACCTGGCCACATAAAGAACGGGAAATCATAATAGATAGATATAGATAGCAAAAAAATAATACAATACGCCGGCGTAACGCGGACTAGAGATGTAACACTTCCTCAGTTTCCTCAGTAACACATCTATGGCTGGTGGAATGTCGGATATATGATTTCCACCTTGGCGAAATCTAATAGGAGTGGGTGGGAGGGGCAATTTCCGTTTCCCGTTTTACTGCCTATCCGACCTGCCAAGGACGTTATATAGGATTGGATAGCCGTATTTAGCCTCTACCAGGCTCCGGGAAGAGGCTGGAAAGAGATGAAATTGGCCAACTGGACAGATGATATGCCAGGGGACTTGGTCCACGCTTAGTTCGGGAGCGGCACATTGGACTAACTCCGGATCCCCTGGCATGTTACATGTATCTGTATATTTGGCCTATTTCTATAGATCTAGTCTTTCCAACCACTTCTGAAGCCTGCTAGAGGTTAAGGCTCGTAAGTTGATAGTAACTCGTCGTTACCACTATCGAATACTTGCCGCATCCTAGAGCCTGTTAGTCTCCAGCAGACCAAGGAGGTTCAAAAAGAGACATTTTGACCCTCCTTGAGCAGAGTAACACCGCGGGTTCAAAAACAATAAAATTCAGCCAGATAGGAAGAATAATTGGCCTATATACAAACGTTCTTGTTTTTAACGTTACCTTTCGATTGGTCTTGGATAAACGCCCCTCTTTGTAACAGTCTTGTCTTGAATATATTATATGTGTGGATTCCTTTCTATGTAAATCTTTGAAGATGTGTCTATGTTCATTTTAGCTGCAATTTTCTGGGATGCACAGATAAAACTACTTCGACGTGCAAAGTGCACTATTATAGTTAGTTATACAACTTTTGCATTTCTATTCCTGTACACAGCCCGATAGGGCACAGATGTACAAGAAAGGCTATCTATCTATTTATATATAAAGACGCCCCAGGACATAGACGTACCGTGATTATGAACCATATGTTTTTGTCGTGTGCGGCGGAGGAAATGGCCTTTTTATAGCACATCCTGTGGTGAGTTTTAACCAGGCCACAATTTCCTTATTTTTCAACCGTTATCGGCTCTAGCATGATTGGCGCGGGAACCCACTGAAACGCCCGGAGCGACAAATAACTAGTAGGTACATGACATGATTGTAGAGAATCAATAATGCCACCCAACGACGACTGCTTCAATTGCAGCCTCATTTGTCAAAATTAAAGATTTCGCGATCAGCACCGCCCAATTTTGCAATGATATTTTGAATCGCTAGTCGACGCTGTTGGTCCCTTGGGAGTTAGTGAACGTAATAGTCGTACGGGGACATCATTTGTCATTCTATGTCATGATCAGAACGTACCAAAGTACTTTATTTATCTTCGGTGCATGTAGGCAGTCCCTTTAGCCGAAAAGCCTCACTGATTTCCAAGGGAGCCCAAGACAGAGTACAAACGTAGGAGATACCATTGGACGGTAGCCTCTATCAGGCTTCGGGAAGTGACTGGAAAGAGTAGGAATTGATGTCCAAATAGACAGATAGCATGCCAAGGGAGTTGGTCCGCGAGTACAGTTAGGAGCTGCAAATATGTTCTTTTGCGGACCAACTGTCCTGGTATGTTATCCGTCTGTTTGGGCAATTTCTTCTCTTTCCAGTCGCTTCGCGAAGCCTGTTACAGGCTAGACAAATGACACACGAGCCGTTGACAAAAAAGGCGCCACCCGTTTAACCTTCTCCCGTCTCTTCTAGCGCCGTAAAGGGATAATTTTGTCCCACTTGTTTCGTAACCACAGTGACGAGGTCGAAGTTCCCCGGCGCAGTCCCGTATCTGGACGTCAGTGAAACACCCAGGCAAATAGCGGGCACGTGTTTGAGTAGCTCACATGACACAGAAGCCTTGCCGGGTGCCTATTGGAGAGGACGCGGCACGGGAGGCTCGTCGTCACGGGGATTATAACGGAGTTCAGCCGCGGGGAGGTACCGGGCGAGGAGTGGAGAAACCTAAGGACGGCCCGACACTCTGCGTGCGGCGACAAGCTACCAGAACCGACCGCAGGCACGGAGCCGGTCGCCCGTCCGCGCTCTACGCGGGGTCTGGAACTAGGTCATGTAGTCGGTCTCGTCAGCGAAACACTCAAACTCTAGCGCCTTATCTCAAGTACTCTGGAGTGTCCGTGTAGACCGAGAATTCCGCCAGGGATGCCCGCAGCAGTGCCGCCGGCGAGTCGTCCGGCCAGGGGAGCGGGGATGTGCGTCCCCTCACCCCGGTGGTGTCTGATTCTCCTGGGAGTACTCATCCTCATGTCCACGGTTTCCGCTCAGCACAGGAGACGGCCGGACGGGCACGGGCAGCAGGCGAGAAAAGAGGTAACGTCCTGATAATGCACCTGTCAGTGTTATGCCGCTAGGGGAATAATCTGGTGTGTTAAAGGTGCCCTAAGCGATATCTGGCCGATAGTGTGTTACAGATACAGATTTAAGCTGCTGTGTTACAAATGGATACTGTGTGTTATTAATAAACTGGTGTGTTACACCGAAGGGCAGTTATACCGGCTATACAGATACGTATAATGGGTATACAATGTTCTATTACTATCATTATTAGCACAGAAATAGTGCAGCATTATGACATTTGTCGTCTGTTTAAATGTCCACAGAACCATGCTGGTCGATCTCTGTATTTTCATGATCTATGATAGAGAGCATACAATTATGACAGCTCTGTTCTACCAACCCCACGTTTGCAGCCCCCCGATTTACATTGATAACGTCATAATATCTATTGAAGCAAATCATACATACAGCGGAAGGCACAACCACCGTATACTATTCCACTCAGGAACTTCCCTCTTCAGGAATAACCTTATATTGTGGTCAGAAGAAGACGTCAATGTGACCCTACGTGACCCTACGATAATAAGACTCAGTACGTGATCATGAAGTCCAGCAGAGAAAATTTCGGAGGTTCATTACAAACAACAGTTTGAACCGGGTCAGTAACCTGTAAGTAAATGTAGGCACCGAGAACAGATCAGAAATGTAATGGGAACGTTGATTGTTTGGTCCAGGACAGCCAAGTTCTCATGTGTGTAACGTCTATAAACGTAAAAAACTGTAACGTCATGATCAGAGACGGAACCTAAACCTCGCATCTGCTTGAAGATTACACACACACACACACACAAACAAACAAACATCGGCGTGCTTGTGCCTGTTATTGTTCTTTCTCGCCCGATTGACATGGGTGGGTGTTATTTGACAGGATGACAGACGACACTTTTCGCAGGTCTGTCCTCCCTCCAAAGGACCGCTGATCTCCTAACACGCGAAAACAAACAAACCTCCCAGATCCCAAGTCTAGATATCATTCGATATGATTGTGTACTTCTTCTAGTCCGCTGAAGATTGCTTCTTGGTTGCCCTAGTACATATAATGGCAGTTGTGTCTTTGGATTCCTTGTTAAGCCTTTGTGATTTTGGGTTGTTTCACTCACGGAGCCTACAGTACACATCGCCTTAGATACGCTAAGATCTAAGTCTTAAAGATAAGAACGACTTTTATCTGCGAGGGAGATCTCAAGGAAGGCGCTAAGATAAGAATGTGCTTCCTCAGAGATATCTGGGCTCCTCAGAGATCAAATAACATTTTCATTCCGTATTCCATTCTTTAATCCCCACATGAGGTGAAGATATGGGCTGTCATTTGCAACAGGCTTGCAAGAATCACTGAGTAGTGAGCTTAATTTTTAAAAGACGTCCAATGCAATTTGAGGGCAGCAAAAATATTCTGGATGAGGGAATCTGATATTGACATTTACTGCCATTTCTTAGTACATTTTTTCATCCTTTCATACTTGAAAAGCGCTTGAAGTTTCCCCAAACAGCTACATGAGGCGTCTCTTTATTTTTTTGGGTACCGCCCGTAAGTAGTTCGAACCAGCCTACGATACAAAACAAGCAACCGTTTTCCGTCACGACATCGCATTTTAACCTCAAAGATATCAGCCGCGGTATGCTCTGGGATAGAATTGATTCAAAAGAATATGACCAGAAAATTGACTTTGAAGTTTGAGAATCCAGTTTTACCCCCTGAAATTACTTTCTTACATTGGCTGTCTTTTAAGCAATCTTTGCACGTCGCTATCTGTGACATCTGTGTGAATAGCCGGGCAGGTTTACTCTCCCAGAGCTAATATTTGGCAGTGCTTGACGTGACTGTGTCACCATGTGCCGACTATTTAAAACGCTGTTCCATCATTTTACAACGGCTCGGAGGGTTTGCCTGTCCCGCAAGTCAAAACAAAAAGGAAGCTAATTAGAGACCTGTACCTCCCCGAACTGTGATTGCGTTTGGACGGGAATGTAAGCAAAGCGCTATCGGTGGGCACTTGGGATTCAACATAGGAGCGTAGCGAATTGATGTTTGGAACGTTTGTCACGAGCGAAATGGCATCCGATTAGTCTAATCCTTTTCTTTTTAGGATTCTTTTCTCCATTGGATGGTAGTTCCCTTAATAACCTTAATTAGTAGTTCCCTTAATTCTAGCTAACCCGTGTGTCATCCTATTTCAGTATTTGTATACCGGGGCTCCTATACTCACTCCCTAAAGTATGGGAGCCCCGATATACACATAGGATGGCACCCAGGCCATACTATCGTTGCTGATCAGAGCTTAAATTGAACATTTATATACGCAATGATACGTGGATGTCAGTATAATATGATGTGGCGACAAGTATATTCAAGTGTGAAGTGTGCGAAAGGAAGAATTGCACGTACAATAATTGGAGGTTTCTTATGTCCCTGAAATATATATTGTTGTAGACCCCGTCAACCTTTCCGGATCGTTATACACAGCCCGGGCGGTTATATATAGTTGTGTTGCCATTCCAACCATGCTGAGGTCACGCTTCTAACACATTCACGCCACTGTGGGTCAGCATGACGGGCGAAAACACAGCTCAACATTCACTCAACGCTGTATTTCATTCTGGGGAGGACCAAGTTATTAATGACTTAAAGGCATCCGATACAATTTCCAGGCGGCGAAATAAAAATTAAAAATTCTGGATGAAGATATTGATATTGACATTAACTGCCATTTCTAAGCACTTTGGCATCATTTCATCATTAGAATTGTTTGAAATAGCCCCAATGGAAGCTACGTGAGGCGTCTAGTTATTTTGGGTACCACCCAGATGAAGAGATAGAACAAGCCTGCGATACAAAACAAGCGAATAAAATCGACTTTGAGTTACATTTGAGTCAAATTGACTCCCAGGCACGCCCGGACTACTGCTGACCTAGACCAGAACACCAACCAACCACCGGCCAATCATGGCCGAACCTCCCGTCTACACCAGTGCTTTAAAACATTTTGAAACATTCGGTTGGCGCAGCCGAACATAAGCCGACCTCGACGAACACCAGCCAACCACAGCCGACCTTGCTCCCGATCGTCTCCCGACCATGGTTGGGGGATTTCGGCCGTGTTCCGGAGGCCACATTCGGACGACTCATGTTACATCTTATCACGCCTACTGGTTTTCCCCGTTACGATTTATAACGCCCTGACAGGTATGTAATTGTTTGTTTCCACATTTGTCGGTTGTCAAGGACGAGGTGTGCCCCCGAAGCAAGGGTCCCTTCCCCACAAGCCTAGATGCTCACATAGCAGATCATAGCACGCTAGGCCCTAGTCAGTGAGGAATCAGAATGTAACTGAGGGAGGCTGTGGTATAATATGTTGTCTTTAATATAATTTCCTTGGGGCATGTTGGCCCTGGAGTCGAGGAACTGGCCTGTGTAAGTTCTACAGTCTGGCACCCAGGCTACCTCCCCACTAGCCTAGATGTCAGACCAAATTAGCACGCTAGGCCCAGAGTTAGTGTGAATCAGGGCCTAACTGAGGGGGGCTGTGGTCTAATCTCCGAGTTGGGGCATGTTGGCCCTGGAGCCGAGAAACTAGCCTGTAGGCCCCGGAAACAGTCTAACTGGCCCCCACCCACCCAGGATTACCGCTGTGTTTGCCTTGGGTCTAGTTCAGTGCAGACGACATTTGTACGGCGCGCACCTGAGGTGACGTCATGGTGCTGTAGGTCGTCTGCGAGTCGTGACCGGCGATGAAAGCCGGGAGTTTTGTGACATCTTATTTGTCAGCCCGCAGTCTCTCATGTTACTATCCAAGCAGAGGTTGGGGCTTCGGCTTAATTTGACGTGTTTTATGCGTTTTTACCTTCGCAGCAGGAAAACTATGATAGATTGTTCTTGCTCCGTTTCTTCTTCCCCTTCTTCCTCTTCAAACAAATAAGGTCAATGACCTGAACCAAACGTCTGTCACTGGTGTTGGGTTACATCATGTTGCAATTTTATAGCAGGAGAGAGTTAGACTCTTTGCACTGTATATATGAATGTGTTTGAGTGAAGAATTAACAGAGCAGACAATATGCGAAGGTAAATATTATGCATTTGCAACCTTTCTAGTTGGTATATTTTTTCGCCAGCCAACTATACTGCCTGGCCAATTTGATACTGTCTTTGCAGCCACCAAAAAGATCTGCTTGGAGATGACTCTGATGTTTCACCTGCTGCCGCCGTGTGCACGTACTGGATCGTGTCTCTACGATTACGAACATAGGAGGGTGGATGTCTAGCTCTGGATTTCTAGATTACGTACTAGTTGTATTGCATTAGGCGACTTTTCTTTTATATATAACCAGCTATCCAGCTACTACGTTTTAACAACGCTACTCGTATCTCGGTCACTTAGTTCTAATGAATATGGACAAATGGGCTTATCAAATACAGACTGCTAATCTGGTAGTAATCTGGTCTATTAGGATGCGGGCATTGTGACGGGTGTGACTGTCGAACGCTCGGTTGGCAGCTCTTGATTGGTAAATAAAGGGTCTATATTTTACATAGAGAGGACGGTTGTTGGTGATTTTATGGCCCTCGGCCAAAATAAAGTTGTACCGTCATGTAGAATTCCTTCTGGGGATCGTAAAGAACAGAATGACAAGTTTGTTTTTACAACATGGATGTTGGTTTAATGTTAAGATGCAGGTGTAAGGAGTTCTGCTAGCACTAGCTTGCCTTAAGCCTATCCTTTCCCCTTGTACTATATCTGTAAAGTCCCTCTAGAGGTCAAGACCTTGAGCATTGTCAAAGTACCCTATGTTTGGGTGAAGGTTACCTAGAATTGTCACGTTGCCAGTTTTAGGTTGCAAGTAAGTTCTCGCAGGGCAGGAGGCAGATATTAGTGGCGGAAACCGACAGAAGGTGGGGGGGGGGGGCACAAGTATCCCTCAGCGCTGCCTTAAAGCCCTATCACACATTAAAACCTTTTCCCGATCACAGACCAACCAAGTTTGGCTGAAGTTCGGAAGCAGTCATACCAGATTTATATATGCAGTTCTATAGGAATCTTTGAGTTAAATTTGAGACAAATTTGAACCCCGTACACTGCTGACACAACTTCGAAACACTTTGAATTCCTCGAGAAACAAGTGGTTATACAAAAACCGTCTACTACCAGTACCACCTTTGGCAACCAATGGGTCTGTTTATAGGGTATATAGAAGCACACTCCACACTGCATAATGGCCACTTGGAACTAGGTAGGCTCAAAGTCCATGATGCGCGAAACACTGTCCCTAGGCGCTTTTGCCTTAAGTTTATGTACCATTATTTAATAGTATCCAAAATAGTTTGTTGCATACTACCTTTAAACAACGTTAACGGTACATAAAATACAAACTGTCAACAAAAGGACTGGTTATGGCTTTACTGGACCAGTATTCCACCTTCTGTGGGCTTCAACTCTAAGAAAGGACACGCACAGTTTTACTACGTATCCAGGTCAACTGTCGGACCTCAAAGAATTTTTCCTACCAAAAAAGAGTAGCACCTGGACGACGAGACGACCGCCTCTCGTTCCCGGGTCACTTCCGTCGACCATTAATCCCCGTTGCCATGACAACCCGTCAGGAGTGCTTCTGTCGTCCGACAAGGCCGCTCCTTTATCCGCCCGGGCCTTCTGTTGGAGACGCGCTGCTTGGATAGGTGGAACTTCTTTGTTCGTTAACATTTACTTTCGCGAGCTGTCGAGTGACAAGCCGGAGTGGGGGAGGGGTGGCGGCGATTTATCGAGTACGTTGCAGTCAGCAAAAACTACCCTAGAGTAGCCAGCTGTGCTTTCTCGTTTAGACGTGAACGGTAATAATAAAACACCTAACAGTTAAAGACATCATATAATGACTCATTGATTGAGTACCTCTTCCTACTCTTGAAGTGTATTGCCGCCAAAACATTTCATGCAATTTTTGGGCGGCAAAACTAGAAATATTCTGCATAAGGCATCCTGTATGATATTGACACATACTATCCCACATTAGCACATTTGAATCAGTATTTCGTACTTTAGATATTTGAAACTGCAGAAACAAGCCCCAAGACGAGTCCTTTATTTCCTGGGTGGTACCCTAAAAATCAATCCTGAGGTCCTTCCAGTAACCGGTTTTCGTCAGAATTTGGGGCATTTTTGCTCCATGAATGGTGATATATATTGGGACAGTGTTACGTTGTTTCAGCTTAGTATATAGATAAGTGACTAGAATATTAACTTGAAAAAACCTGGTTTCTAAGCCCTAAAAACTGCACTGGATGCCTTTAACCTCATACACGGTCCATAACGAAATGTCCCTTGCCGTCCCTCCAGGTCTTAAAATGTCGGTGAATTGAAAGTCTTGCCACTGGCGTGACATCTGTCCACTTTACTTGTTGTTCCGCTTCTTCGGGGGAAACAGTTGCTTCTGTTGCCGTGTTTAACGATTTCAGCAAATTCCACGTTCCAAGTACAGCTCTCTTTACGATTCAGGTCCACGGTTACAAGCCTCCACCAGGCCTTCCTACGGGGGTACAGATCGGATCGTAGAATTCGGCAAAAAAGGGAACTACTAGTAATTGGTCACGAGAGTCAGTCCACGGGAGGGTTAATGTCTCCAAAGCGGGTAAATGAACTCTACGGTGGCCAAACACTCATAGATTCTCCCTATTTGAACCAGTGTTGGAAGTTTGCAACCCATTAGGTTTCATACGGTCTTAAAGGACCCGTTTCCAAGGTAACTATCCGTACGATCAGGCCATGTACAGACTGCTGGGAATCGAAGAGCGTAGCCACAGTCGTTGGAAATGCTCGTGAAATCATGATGATTCTTCTTAAGAGGGTCATCAAAGAACAGCTTTATGGAGAAAATAAATGGCTTGAATCTGATACGCCTGTAGGAAGACCACTGACTTAGAAATCACCCAGACCTTCCACAAGCTCGTCCACAGTAATGTGTTTGTCGGGCACTTTTAACACATTTGAAAAGAGTGATATATGGAAGTCTCCATTCACATGTGTGATGTACGCTACAGAAGTCCTTCAGGGCGGTGTTCTAGTGATCAATCTTGTACAGAATTTGGCGGGACCGGGTCAGACAAGTCACACACAGACTGGCAGGGAATGTAGAACACCGGTACTCAAACAGAAAAGGGGGGCAGCTGACAGCACAAACTTCTTGAATTGTGATAAACACACGTGAACTAGTTTCAATCCAAGGCTTCATCACTGGGTATATCACGTTTCTTCAAAACCACCGGCGTCTAAATGGTTCAAGTTTGTGTACGCCGTGAGTGTGAGAGAAGGGGGCATGGTGCCTTGACCCCGACACTTCCCGTTTGATGTCTTTTCTACCACTCGGGAGGAAGGCAGGCGACCGCCTCCCATTAGAGAGTAAGTGAGCCATTCCCGGAGCGTGGTCTCCAAGACAAGCGGACACCGCCAGGGCACTCACAGACACCGGTGGAATTTAGATGTTAGACGCTTCGGACACCCACACATTACTGAACTTAGGTGGGAAGCGATTACCTTTTAGAGCTGGACGTACACATAGCGTTGGCTCTGTGTTCAAAGCGGGCCGTCCAGCCCAAACTTGGAAGAGAAGAGACACAGTTCTTAACTTCACAAGCAGACAGACAGATTCGTCACTGGCTAACCTTTCAGCACTCCAACAATGGGCTGAAAGTCAAGTTTAAATGGAGCGTGGAGGTTTCAGGTCCCTTTTCTGTCGCTGAGGGAACGTGGCGACGACCACGTGCTGGGAGCCTTTTTTCGGGTCGCCCGTTTTGCTCCAGACTTGTGTGTCGCTAGCTGGTTCTTTCTCCGTGGTCTCAGGTGTTAAGCCCGTCACACATTCAGAACCTTCCCCGACCACCAACCAACCGATTCACCGTGTCAGATTTAGGCCACGCCCACCTTTCTATGTGAATCAAATCAAATTTGAGTTAAATGTGAGTCAAAGTTGACACCGCACACGGCCCTGGCACTGCTGAACGATCTGATTAGATTAAGATAATTAAAATAAAGAGGGCCAGAATACAGTAATTTGCATACTTAGGTCAAAGTTTTTTTGGACTGGCAGAGAGAGAGAGGAGAGACAGAGAGAGAGAGAGAGAGAGAGAGAATATCATCAAAGTTTTTTAATCTAGAAAAGGCGATATGACGGAGATAAATTGACGGAGAACGTAACACGGGCTAGACCAGCGGCCTAGATACAGGCATGCATACCGTATGATCAAAATTATAAAACTTTCCCGTGGTTGATTGCAGGTCAGACCCCGGGAAGAGCACAGACCAACGCACAGCCAAGACTCCCACCCTGTCAGGAGCCGTCCCCAGCACAGGAGGGTTAAACCCAGTCGGCCCTACCTCCGCGCGGAGCCGGAGTCCCAGAGACACAGACTGCTCCATAGGAAGGCCGTGTATCCAGACGACGCCCGCTTCCCCGATCCGGCAGAGGGCCACCGGAAGGTCGTGGACGGACCGACGCGAAAGGTACGGATAATCTCCAATGCAAATATCAAAACTTCGCGGAGCTATACTCAGTAAATTCACTTTCTGAATTTTGTTCAATTTACTATAATTCATAGTAAATTAAACAAAATTCAGAGTGATACAAAATGTATGTCTGCAGGTTGAATAGGAAAGATTAATTTCATTCATTTAAAAACAGGTGTCCGGGGACGGTCAGGGGGAGCCGGTGGAGGCGGGCGGGGACGAGTACAGGTGTCCGCCGCCGCTGACGGTGAACAGGCTCCGGCGGAGGGTGTGTCAGCAGACCAAGTGCGTGTCGGACTCGGAGTGCGGCGCGGAGAGGAGGTGCTGCTTTAACGGCTGTGTGTTCACCTGTCTCGACGCCGTGCCGCCGCCAGCAGGTCTGCTTGTTTGTTTGTTTGCACAACTAGAAAGTAAATAATACAATAAAGAATAGATACACTGAAACTGATGACCGACTGCTTGGTTGGCTTGTTGGTCATTTCGTCAGCCGAAACTCTATACGATGATTAGGATGTTTGAACATTCTCCAAGAGACGTCTTTTATTTTGCTTTCACGGATAACTCTCCAAGCAGAGGTTTGGGTTTTGGCTTATTTTTGGCGTGAAAAACTAAAAACACGCCAAAAATAAGCCTATAAACCCAAACCCAAACCTCTGCTTGGAGAGTATTCATGGATATCTTATTTAAATTCTGCAATCTGAGAAGATTGATATTTGCTCTGTTAGCTTTGCCCTGACTGACTGTTGTCTTCTTGTTTTCATTCCCAGTGCTGGACTGGTTGGAACAGCCGAGTCCACAGAGAAGTGCAGGTAGGAAACTCCAGTTTACGTCTTTGTAAAACCCCGGGCCCTGCCACACATAGCAAAACAAAAAAAAATCTGGATAATATTCATTATATTGCCATTTCCTAGCACATTTTCGTCATCATTTCATCCCTGAGGCGTTTAAAATAGCATGCAAAACAACCAGCCGTTTCCCGTCATGCAGCAACATCACATTTTTGCCTCACAGTCACAGATATCAGTATGCTATGGGATTGAGTTGATTCCACTTACGACCAGAAAAATTCAGTTTTTGCTGCCCTGAAATCGCGTTGGGTGCAAACCTCCAGTAGACTATCCCCTGCCTGCTTCGTTATGAGCAGCCTTGGGGTGGTCAAGATAACATCCGACAGGTCGTCTGAGGTCTGCGTACTCCAGACCACCTGATGTGTTCTCATGCCCGCGGCCTGACATCGGGTCTTGTTATCACACCTATCTAAACATCTCAGGCGTCCAGGGCACAAATTATAATCAGGGGTGCAATGTGGTCTTGTGGTTCGGGTTGTTGATTCATAATCTAAAGGTTCTGGGTTCGAATCCATGGCAGGACCCACCGTTGTGTCCTTGGGAAAGACACTTTTCACCTGTTTCCTAACTTGACTCAGGTGGAGATGAGTACCTAGCTTCGGTTAGGGACGTCCTCTCGGATGGGACGTAAAGCCGGAGGTCCCGTGTTTTAAGAGTCCCTTGAGATTTGGCAGGAAATGTTGAGTATATAAATATTTGACAATTTGTGAATTTTCTCTTCATTTCCCTTTATTGTATTACAGGTTATGCGTGGCTCGTGGCAGAACCAGAGGAAGTTATGGGAGGTAATTACACTACCCATACATATGAGAGAGAGACTCCGATCTGGTAGACACGGCGATTCTAACGGCAGAGATCCCGATCGGAGTCTTTGTCGACAGATATGTGTTAGGGTGGTTTTCCCATTTACAAATCCTACATTTCAAGTCAATTCACGAATCAAAGTTAGAAAGTTCTGAGTATCAGACTCCAATGGCAATGATCATACGAGACATATTTAAAAGAACAATTACAAAGGGTCTTAATTTTTCATGTACGTATGAGATCTCCGAATTCTTGTTTCAAAAGCGTATATATGAATTTCTTGTTTCCAATCTCACCGTCCTGTTCTCTAGTTGAGACGTGTAGCACGACCACCGCCTCCCCTAACGAACTGTTGTTAGAGTGTCCTCACGGGTACGTCTGTCACATCACCAACCAGGGAGACCCTACCAGTGATATACCGAACGCTGGCGTCTGCATCAAGGGACAAGGTACTAGTACATAGTAAAACATTTCTGTGGTTTGTTTGTTTAGGCTCTCTAGCCTCTATGTATACCAGGATTAAATCCGGGAGGAAAGAGTATTAATTGGCCAAATAGACAGATGATATGCCAGGGGAGTTGGTCCGTACTAAGAGAATAGTTCGGGAGCAGCAAACTGTGGACCAACTTCCCTGACGTATCATCTGTCTATTTGGCATATTTCTACTCTTTCCAGCCGCCTCCCGAAGCCTGGTAGAGGCTATATGCTCTCCACTAGTGTGCCAATTCAGAATATTCTGTATCATAGTCACGAATTGTGGTTTGCGTTCGAAAAAAATTCCCGAAGATGAGAAAAGGGCATATTTCTCATGTCGACGGACAAGAACTAGTCATATAACTTTGCTTCAAGCTCTACACTATAATTAAGAAACAAAAGGGAAAGCAAAGCACAGTCTAGACTATACCGAAATCAGTTTTCCAGAAAAGATGTGTTTTTGTGTATTTTTGGAATGGAACAGTAGGTCCTGTGTGTTGTGTACTGTACTTGTAACATCATCATGTCCTTGTTGTTCGTGGCTTATTCATGTGCCATGTGCTTCCACTAGATACACGTAAATCTGAACATAACGGTGAAAAAAACGATCCTAACATCTTTGAGATGTAAGAACACATGGAGCTTGTAATACACGGTTTATCGAATTGCATGAGGAATATGAATTTTTCTTTGCTATTTAAATTATGACTATGTTGTTTCTGTTCGACTAGGAGACGAGGAAGGAAGCGAAAACGAATCTGACGGTAAATTTCGCCGAATTTGTGTTTCTTCTGTTCTTGTTGTGCGTGCAAGTATAATCGCATGCCAACAAGTCCAAATTACTTTTAACATTGTACATATATAAACTTAACTTATCGAGCTCTCTCTTTAGAAAATTTAATTCTTCAAATGCTTAATCAAACATAATCTGAAAATCTTTACTTCCAACGCCAATATGTTCCTTAAATTAATCTTCCTGATATTATCTAGTTAACTTCCAACCATATACAACTCGTGCAGGATATCAGTCCTATCACTCATGATCAGCACGAAACCAATCTTATAAAATCCTATAATTGTCTAAACCATTAAGAGCTATGTCTGTCACGTTCCCGCGCTTTTCTGAATCCCTTGGGAAGTGAACGGTTAACAATATCTTTCCAAGGAGGTTGTATTTAACCTCCTTGATCTTTCTCATCTGCTCTTCTTGTTGCAAGTTTTTGTGTGGTTGTGTGTTCGTGTATGTGACTTGCCCGTGTTTGTGTAGTGAAATAACAGAGTGAGAGCCCCCGACACTCACAAAATGATTAGATGATTGTACGTCCAAGAAGTTGACTACTATTTACACTGCAACACTACAAACTTTTTCTCAATACTCATCCACATAATATTAATATAAAGCAATTGTGTTCTGAATTATATTACTTTTCCCTCTACCCAGATGACGAAAGTCCACGCCAGTTCCGTCTGCGCTCAGGCCCGACAGAAGACGGGAAAGGTGAGGTCCTTCAACCGGTCATGTTGTAAACTTGTCTCCGCTCTTTACCTACGACGTTTAGATGCTAGTCTTCACCAGACTCCTTTGCATACTGAATTAATTGTTGAAATCTGCCTAACAACTGGCCCCTGGACAGAACTTTACATTCCTTTTTTATATTTACTTAGCCGCTTTCTACAATTTATTCAGCCTGAAACGGAGTCTGGTGAAGACTACTTCATACCACAACAGAAAAGTAAGAAACCGCTGCTGTAGATCAAAGCGAGCTCCTTAGTACATGTAGAAGGAAGATTATACGTACAGTGGAATAGTCAATCAGTCCCATCTTTTCCTAAGTCCGGGATTTTGTCAAACTCTAAAGGTAATTCAAAAGACAAATTTGCTACTCCACAACATTTTCATGTCCAGGAAAAAAGTTGTGTTTCCTGTTCCCCGACCGACTCTAGCAGAAACTTTTTTCGAACTGATCGAGCTTTTCTAGCTCCATGATTTTACAGACTGACACAAAGTGATGAAACGTTGTACAATCGGTTTTCCAACATTGACATTGAAAATATAAGTGTCCTCATGCAGGTTTTACTTTGTCTAAGTTGGATCACTAAAAAGATAATCCCTACATGCCGGGCCTAATTTGTTCAGGACTGAAACAGGAAACAACATTTTCCCCTAGACATCATGAGGTGGAAGTATTTTGTACACTGAGCGGTTTAACATGTCGTAGAAACCACAGAGTCAATGGTGGGAAGTTAAGTTGAAGGCTAAATGCCTTGGAATGGTTTCAATTCCAACCCCACCTGACGATCGTAAATACGGCCTCTGAGGGACAGGGTAGGGCACGATAGCGCCTTGAAATTTGCCCCCTCTCTGATCTGTATTTACGTTTGCCGTGTGTATGTTTTCCAAATGGCCTTACCAATGATCTTACTACGACCAGAACAGCCATAGACCAGGAATATGGCTACAGAGCAGAGCTCATGGTTCTATCATAGAGTATGAGGTCATTCTGGCTGAACTTTGATGCTCTCTTCATCGATCAAAGGGTTTCTTTATGTACATTTGTGTACTTGAACTCAGATTGAGTACCGTACTGAAGAATATCTCTTAGGACTAGTCGTTAAGAGATGTTGTTCCTTTTATACAACATGCGCCATTGTTGCCAAAACCCTTTAACAGGTATACTTTTTCATGGATTTTTTTCTCGTCATTTTCGATCATTTTCCAACATCTCTCTTGATCCATGTGCATCTTCTTGTCTTTTTACATCACTGTGTAACAACAATTTCTCTCTCTTCTATAAGTACAAATGTAGCTTTAGCCTGGGCACCATCCTGGTTAGTTACATGTACGTGTACATGTATGCCCCCTCTGAGCGGCTATTGGAGCGGGCGTAAACTAACCTGCAGGATGGTACCCAGGCTAACATAGCTTCATCTGGGTGGTGAATCATGGGAAAGTAGGGTTCTTAAGTACATCAAAACCTTGATGACATTTTACTTGGCTGATGTTTCAGTAACTTCTCAACTACCTTTATGAGGGCCTGGTGGGCTACTACATGACATGTATTAAGCAGTGTCAGCCAAATGTTCAAAATGTTTCAAATATTCAGGGATCGTCTGGGATGTTTGATAATGGCTGGCTGGTGTTCGGAACACCAGAACACCTAATTTGGCTCAAATTTAACTCAAATTCTTTCTGATTTGTTTAAAAAGGTCGGCTGGTGTTCAGGGCAAGTCCTGAATGTGTGACAAGGGCTTAGGGATTTACTGAAATATTGGCCAGATAAAATATTTCAAGGTTGCCCACGATACAAGAACCCTTTCCCAACATCTCTCTCTCTCTCTCTCTCTGCACGTACTGACTCTAGGTAAACTCTCTAACCCACCGTCATAGGTTGCATGGTGGAAGGACAGACTTACCGAAACAAACAGCTCTTCAGTTTCAACACACACATTTGGTAAGTCAGACCTAACTGCACTTTGATCACCAGTGTCATCTCACAGCAATCTTCTTCATTGCATTTTAATACCAAGTTTCTATATTATTTATGTTGATATTGTAGTAATACAGTATCTCATGGTACTCTGTAAACCCTGCATTGGTTGAAATCAAAGGCTTGTAGCCTAGTTATGTTTATCAAAGGAAAACATTGTTTTTGCTCTGTTTCCTCTTCTTCTCCAAACCATTACGGTCAGTGACCTGAACCAGACGTCTATGGCCATGGTAGCTTGTGTTGGGTTACATCATGTTGCAATTTTATAGCAAGAGGGATTTAGACTCCTGTCTGACCATACATATGAATGCGTTTGAGTAAGAATTAAGAGAGCAGACCATATTTGAATTCGAAGGTTAAAAGTTACCAAACCTACTTTGGCTGCCTGAGTCTCTTTCATCCTCTCTGCAATGAGGTTTGCTGACCAGGATGTGAACAGTGTGTGACTTGGAGCAGAACTGTAGGGCTGATTTAGAACAGGTTTTGAGGATTTGTCTACATACATGAAACTGTTGTATTATGATATGATGAGAAACTGTTGTCCACCATAGCTACATGCACCTTCCCAACCCCACTCAATGCTTCATAGAGTGATGTACAAGTGAAAGTGTAACTAGTTACCTTAACGATGCTGCAGGCATTCCTGCTTGTATCTAATTAGTTCACACAAATAAAATCCACACCTGTTTCCCTGTGCTCTCGTTTCTCCAACCAAGGTTACTCCTGATGCCTTCTTCAGCTGGTTCTGATTTTGAACTTATGTAGAGAAGCCACCCTATAAAATGTTATTCACCTCTCACAGAAGGGGGAGTTTTAAGATGTGAAAGCAAGATGCAAGTCTTAAGAGATTGTCCTGATCTTTCCTAAGATGTTAAATAGCCTATGTTCCATATTTGTTGTTTTATTCTCAGTTTGATACTTTCTAACCATTGGACATGATACCCTTGCATAGGGCTTTGCCAAAAGATCTACAGAACATAACTAGTACTATCATATATATATATAATGGTTAGAGCAGTGCTAGGAATTCTTGAGTATCAGAGTTCTTTATACACAATGTAAGGCAAGCAAAGGAGAATTTCGTACCATTCTTACCTGTGGTACTTGTGTTGCAGCAAATGCAGAAACGGAGGAGTTACCTGTGTGGTGGCAGACAATGTAGGTAAGTACCATCCAGGCAACATTCACACCTGTCCAGAACAGTCCAGGTGGAAACAGATTGCATACAACACACAATTTCAAAGCTAAAGAAGAAGTAAAAAAAAATTGACTTTTCATTACCTTTTTTGAGTAGTCATTGCTGAAAATTGACTTGAAGTTGGACGTCCTTACAAAAATAAATTTTATGGACATAGGAAACATGTAGTTGCTTAGCACAACTATAGTTCATAGCAACAAGTGAGAAAACATAACCCTTTTGCCACGGAATTACATCTCCAAGCAGATCTTACGGTGCCAAGGCAGTATCCATTGGCCAGAGGAAGGGGCACTCCTCTGGCCAATGGATACTACTTTGCCATTGAAGGATTTGCTTGGAGACTACTGGTACATAATGTCTGAATCTTGTCTTGCAGAGACCTTTGCAGGCTGGCTGGATGCTGATGAGTTAGACTACAGTGTAGGAGAGGTGCCCAGCTCAGGAGCAGAGACTGTCTGATTCATATAGACCAGAAATATAACAAATACACAGAAATTAACTTTACAAGTTCAGAGGGCAGCTTGCCATTGATCCTCACATTCTACATTTGGCCCTGAAATGTGGTTTAAATGTTTTATTTTCTGATTTATCTTAACCTTTGGACTATTTCTGATCATCTCCTTATGCATGTTCACATTTCATCATAGACAGAGAGGTTGATAAAGGCATTGGTATATAATACACTGTAATTGATTAAAATAAAGGGGTAGGATGTGATCGTCCTTCAAAAAGCATGAACATCAGACGGGTCAACAAAATCAAGAGTGTACACATTAACAAAATAAATTCTTTTTTTTTATTTGCAAATCTGTCTCTGTCAATTCCTTTACCAATTCATTACAGTATTGTCATTTTAACATAACATAATAACTTACATAAGTTTTACACAAATTGAATAAACCTCCTAGCTTGAATGATTCACCATATGACATGTTTTGGTGGAATGATCTAGATTTTAAGCTCCTTGGATTAATATATACAAATATAAATTTACAGTTTTGATACAACTCTGTATCATACGAGTATTTTTATTGTGACAGTCAGCAATTTGACGGTCAAGTCGGAGCAAGAACATATCCAGAACTGATATATTTCTCCTCCAACAAAAAAATCTGGTTAACATTTATTCATTCCAAGCTGTTGTCATGACGACATGATGGTGACCGGAACACTGTTGACTGGCCTGATCTGATTGGCTGGCTGGGAGCAGGATGGACAGCTGAAGCCTGGGTCTGCCAGCTGATTGGCCTGCAGCAGGATGAGAGAAGTGCACTTTTGATCAGAGAGTAAAGATCAGTCAGGGTAGAAAAAAAACAGTGAAATGTGGATGGTTGTTAATGATATTAAGTGGTTAGGTAGGGACAGGAAAGACTCAGGTCAAGTTTGATAATGGGCCTCCTAGCAGCTGCTTTAGGTATTGCAGCGGAGCTTCAAAGTTTGAGGTAATATTTTCCTGAAGTGTTAGGTTCATGATATTTAAGTAGTCAAATGTTGTTGGGACTGGGGGTATACACATGTGGCCAGGCTGCATGTGACTGTAACTTCTTACGACAGTTTGATGGTGAGGGGTGAGGAAAGATAGCTAGTTATCAGTTCAACACCTTCCATTCACTATAAACCCACCAGGGTACTATATAAATAAAGACTCTGTCTCCTGTGCATTGCGTGATCCCTTTGCCCGGGAGCAGCACAACTCTAATGGACAAAGAATGTCGGACGGGATTTCTGAGGTGTAAGGTTTGACGAGCTGCCAACAACCTTGATTTCGAAGAAATGAACCATGGAAGACACTGCAAGATGCTCCGACTTGAGATAAAACGTTTCCCACGACTTCCTTGCCCCTTGCTACAGGGTGTACCATGATTAGTGTCTCAGGCAGCTACTACTAGCTACAGTAGTTCCCTTACTTTCCAACCCTTAAGCTGTTATAAGACACAATATATCTCCTCTTGAACTCTGTTCACCTGTGGGTAATCTTAACCATGCCTGGCATCAATTCATGCCTTCATGTTATAAATGGAATTATTGCAGACATCTCTAACTGTCATGTGCGGAAAGATATTATGACTGGAGGGTCAAAACACTTCTTGCTCACCTTCTGGTTTTAATCTACAGTCAGTGTTCTAGCCAGCCTGATTTTTTTCTGTCATCTCAACTTTGATCATGTCAAGTGGGTGCTACAATTCTAGGACAAGACTTTTAAAATCTTGTCCCTCTGAAATGCTATTTCCTGCATTTTGTAGGGCAAATTTTGCTGGTGGACTAGAGCTTAGTTTAATATACGTTCTCTTTCCATATTGTTACATGCCAAGTTTTGTCCGTCAAAGATGACGAATTGGGAAAAAATTTTGATCATCGTGATTAACAAAATTTCAAAATTTTGTCAAATGACAATAAGACGGATGCTGGCCAGTACACTGCTACAGGCTATTCCATTTTGAAAGTTGGAAATCAGGCCTGGTTTTTGGGGAAGGAAGATGGTGTATCATAAAGGAGAGTTGAATACAGAAAACATACATATAGCTGAAATGAAGAGATAAGAAACCTTTGCTGGATGCACCCTGTAATCTGGAGGAAAAAATCCTTCCTGGCTATCAAAATGGACAAATGAGGCTTCAATGTTGCAAACTAAGATACAAATTCCAAAACCTCCATGTCTAGCCCTCTTGCATGTCGAGTTCAAGGATAAGAGAAGTCCACTTTTGATCAAAGGACAAAGTCATCAACCTGGGCCAAAAACACTTGTAGAATTTCCCTGGGGGCATGTTGGCCCTGGAGCCGAGGAATTTCTAGAAGCATGATGTAGTCAGGCTACATGTGACTGTAACTGCCTACAACAGTTTGATGGTGCAGGGTGAGTAAAGATACACATAGCTAGTTATTAATTCATTTAAATACCTTCCATTCGCTATAAATCCACCAGGGTACTGTATAAATAAAGACTCTGTCTCCTGAGCATCGCCTGATCCCTTTGCCTGGAGCAACACAACTCTTATTATATAACTGTTGTTGCCACTTCCACAGCGAGACTGTGTAAACACAGGCCCCATTCCTATTCAGCATTCAATTTGGTAAAAGCCTTTGTTCTCATGAAACCTGAACTACATGTATTTGCGGCACTAGGGGGTAAGAACCCGCTATGCTGCCAAGTCCAGCGAGTTTGTTTCCCAATGTCTACTGGAGGTTCTTCAGCAGACGGGAGACAGCTGAGGAAGTCTGTCTTGGAGAAGCAGGCTGCCGCTGGTTTACATCTTAAGGTATCCATCTGACCATGACATCACACAGGTGAGTGTCAAACCTGCTTCACTACAGGTGAGAAATGTTCTTAACATGACACTTCAGCCAGGCCGCCATTTTAGGTCAACAACTTGATAGCATTTTTTTTACACCAGTCCTTGTTAAGAAGGTTTTATATTATTGTAAATTGGAAAGTATAGGCTCTGAGAACAAAAGTCACAAAATACTTAATGACTTCTGACTGACACTCTTTGTGAGGGGGTATAGGTGGGTGGGGAGGACTCGAAAATGGTTTTGATACACCTTGAGACTTTCACTGTACGTGGGAACAAGTAACACCTTGTTGTATTAAGTGATGTTTCAAGAAGTTGTTCTATTTTATTTGGATGGCACATGTACATACAAGCTGGCAAATGTGGCACAAAGGAACTCATATATAGTCATGTATGGTTTAGAACACCAGATATGACGACCCAGGGTCCTTTCCCTTAAATAAGACCTATAATTGTGTACAGAGTAAATCCAGTCACGTTTTGTCGTCTGTTTTCAGGATGGCAGGTCCGGTCCGAGAAAGGGTAACAGCGGCTGACAGACGCCATTTCGATTTTGTGCAAACTTTGCTCCGTATTTCTGATAACCTGACTAAAGAGGAAACGGCAAACATAAAGTTGTTCTGCATGCACCTGATTCCAAAAGGCCTGGCCGCTCAACTCAGGCGGGCGGTGGACGTTTTTCACAAGCTGATAGAACTGGATAAAATCGACCAGGAGAACCTAGACTTTCTGGAAGAGCTGTTGGAAAGAATGGGACGACGGGACCTGATTCAGGACGTTCTGAGGCCATTCCAACCACCAGACCGAGAGATTCCGGAAAGCGCCGAAATCCAGCCGGAAAACCCTGAACTCCAACCAGGAACAAGTGCTGAAGGTGCATGTGCAGAAGGTGAGTTAAGTCAGTAATTTTTGGTAATGCCTCAGGGGGGAAGAAACAATAACCTTTGAACTTAATAAAATCAAAGCAAGATGAAATGAAGACTTAATATGCTATTTTGCTCGGGAATGGCTTTAATTCTGTCTCAAAATTTATTACTGTAACCAGAACTTATCATGAAGATTTATTTATTAATTTCAGTATCTACAACGTCAGGCACCTTCTTGGTGTTTCGTGGCCAAAGTCACATGACCCAGGAAACCATAGATCATCAAAGACGCTGTCTTGCGTCGCTACTTAGAACCAGAAGGTCACAGGTCAAGTTCAGGCGCTACAAGAAACACAAGAGCATCCTGGTGCACTACACAGTACCGCGGGAGAACACGGCGGTGCTGAGGCTCATGGCGGATCACTCCGACCCAAGACTTGTCTTCATGGGCATGGAGTCACTGCAGATCGATGCTGGAGTACCCATCAAACTCCAACAGGAGGGGCTGTTGTACGGTGTGTTTAGTTGGTGTATCTTCTCATAATAGTGGCTTCTATTCATCTGTGACATTTGAATATTCCTTATATTATACAAAAACTATATAAAGTCCCTTTCACTTGCTTTGCAGACGTCAAGAGACAACTGCCCGTTGATGACATTGAGGTGGGCTGCAGTACCTATATGAAACAGCAGAGGGCCCCCAGGAGCTGGACGCGGCTGTCGGCCCTGAACCTATTCTCGGACGCCCTGCCGCTCTACCTGCAGGTGGCCGCGAGTCTGGAGTACCAGGGCTTCTCCTACTGCCTGGTCCAGGCTCTGGCGGAGAGGGACCGGCTCAGGGAGCACCAGATGAGGCAAGCCATCCACAACCTCAGGAAGGCTGAAGTGGAGTCCAACAAGCTCCAGCAGAAGGTAGAGCTGGATTCCAACACGCTCATGACCTTACGCTCCAAACTCGTCATCGCAGACAACAGGCTAAAGGAGGCCCTGGAGATGAACGCAGTCCTTAAAGTAAAGCTGCTGCAGGCTCAAGAATATGCAGAAAAAGCAGCCAGCAGGGAGGAAGCAACCCACATAACAGAGTATAGGGGAGAGAAGCCACCTGTTGGCTGGCAAGTACAGTTCGAGAAGGCAGATGCAGCTACACGGATATGCCTAGCAGATACTGATGGTACTACAGGGAGACCTGAAGATATTGGTGACAAAGTTGGAAAAGAATCACTGGTACCGGAAGAACACAAGAAAACTGTGATGCAAGACTCCAGCATTGGGATCGAGAAAGTTCTTCGTGAAAAAACAAGGCCCAAAGCAGGGTTAGAAGGAGCAGCACCTCGCACTACTGGGGACATGGAACAGGGCGCAGTCACTTTTGGCAAGGAAGGATCAGAACCTGGGAAATTTCGGGACCCACACGGCATTGTAGTGTCACCTAGCAATGAGATATTTGTGGCTGATACTAGGAACAGGCGAGTAAAAGTTCACAGCTTAAATGGGGATTACCTCCGCCACTTCCCAACAGTTGTATCGAGTACACAGAAGAAGCACATGAAGCCTCGTGATGTGTGTATGGACTCTAATGGCACAAAGTGGGTATTAGGTAGTGGAGGGGCAGCTCATCATGTTGTACAGTACAGCACAGACGGGACAGCCATGGCGCGGTTTGACCTTCAGGAGAACAGTCATTCTCGCGGTATTGCGGTGAACATGCGCACTAACCACATCCTGGTGACTGATGCAGTCCGTGGTGAAGTTGAGGTGTTCCATCCGGACGGCTCTCTGGTGCGGACAGTCCGCCATCCACGGGGTGAGATGAGAAACCCACAGTACATCACTGTGGACGGGGAAGGTAACATTTTCGTGTCGGACTGGGGAAATCATTCTGTCTACGTGTATGACGAGTTGGGAAAGTTTAAGTTCCAGTTTGGAGGACCGGGAGGTGATGAAGGTCAGCTGAAGTATCCCCTTGGCATCTGTACGGACAGTTCGGGTCACATCATCCTGGCGGACGCTGGGAATGAAAGGGTGCAGATCTTCTCACATCACGGCGAGTATCTCCGCTCCATTCGTACTGGGACTGGGGCAGACGGCCTAGCCGTGGGGCCGGAAGGACAGCTGGTTGTGACCAGTTCGGGAAACCACACTGTGACTGTGTTTCCTAGCTACTAATTCAAATTACACCTTGTAGATGGTTTAATTTGTACCTAAGCTTTAGAAAAAAGTGATGTTCAGTTACCAACAAAGATGAACATTAAATTCAGGCTGATGTACTTTCTTATAAATTGTAACAGCTAGTTGTTAACTCTGTGAATACTGCATTAATGAAAACCTACTCTACTATATGTCTATTTAGGATTGAACATTAGTTACACATATTTTGTATCTGCACTTATGTTGTATATCTATGTTACAAACTCTACACTATGTCCATATAGGATTGCACATTACCAGTAGTTATGTATCAGTGGTGATTTTGTATATCTGTGATACAGACTCTCTACACTATGTAGAGGATTGCACATTGTTTAACATATTACATATCAGCTGTGATTTTGTGAAATCTGTGAAATTTGTTCATCAACCAATTAAAGGTCTACTTTCTTTTGATAGAAGTATTAATTTTCCTTTTATTGTCCACTCAGTGTCCCAGCTATAGCTTTAACAATTCACTGGAATGGTGCCAGGACCAGGCTGAGTTGATTTGAGTCCTTAAATGCCAATGGCTACATCTAGCCACTTAAGAGCCAAACCCTGCTCAGGTGAAGTCCTCACTACTTAGGGATATCATAGAGGCCAGAAGTAGTGTCCCACTCAGCTACTAAAAAAGGAGTTCCCTTACTCTCCAACCCTAAAGCTGCCACAAGACACAATATATCTCCTCTTGAACTCTGTTCACCTGTGTGTAATCTAAACCATGTCTGGCATCAATTCAAGCTTCCATGTTATAAGTGGAATTATCACAGACATATCTAGCTCTGATCTCAGGAAAGATAACCTCTGACTGGAGGGGTTCATAGAGGTTTATCAAAAACACTTTTTGCTCATCTTGTGGTTTTAATCTACAGGCTTGTGTTCTAGCCTGAACTTTTTTTTCTGTCATCTCAATTTTGTTTTAACATCATGTGGAGTGGGTGAGATAATCCTAGCTGACAAGCTCCCCCGGGAAAACTTTGAAATCTTGACCCTCTGAAACACTATTTTCCACATTTTGTGGGGAAAACTTTGCTGGTAGACTTTGCTTAGCTGTTTCTCTCCAAATCATTACATGACGATTTTTGTCTGTCAAAGATGGCAGTTTTGGCAAAAGTTTTGTCTGTCTGTTGGCAAAGACACTAAAATAAATGATGGAAAGACAAATGGATGCTGGCTTACACACTTCTACAGATTATTCAATTTTGAAAGTTGAATCAAGTTTCTAGCAACGTCACTAAGTGACCAAGGACCAACTACGAAGGATCGAGGACGCGAGATGCACTTGGATGCGAACAGCATTTAATCACAACATGGTTGTACACATGGAGTCAGATCTTAAGACTGACCATAGAGGGGATTCACAACCTATGAGCACACGGGCTCAGGGACGGGCATCAAGTGACCCGTGACGTCATACTAATAAACATAACATAGTGGCGTGATCCATCTTTCGTCTTTCTATTCTTCGTATGAAGTAACATAATGTCTTCTAGTACTCTACGCATATAGTGAACGAAAAAACAGAATTCTATTGTAGGAGTACATGCTGACGTTATCGTCGTCCTACTTAATTAGTCTACTATCTCATGAAAGGGGCTATAATATGAGATACAACGTTCTATATTAAACTAGAATATTTTTGAGTCATTCAACATTTCTATCTATGACTTGTAAAACAGAGGAGTTAGGAAATAACATCTTACTTGGTATATCATGCCAATGGAGTAAACTTGAACAGTATAACATTACCAGTGCATGGTTTTCCACATGAACAGAGTTATATTGCAGAGATGGTATTGGTCTAATTTTGCAGTTATCATTGTTTTTGACATAAGTAAATAACGGCATAGGGTATAAAGTGTGTAGAATAACAGTCCGTTGAATCATACAGTTCACCTCGTGTCGTGGTTGATGTGCCTGTGGGTCTGGACGTTTTGGTTCAGAGTTCAGACCTATGTGGAATCGTCCTCTGTTATCTCGATTCGTCTGGAGCGAAGTATGAACTGTTTATCGTTGTCTGGAAGGAAGGGGCATTGACTGAGAAAGTGGTCTGTCACAGATCTGCCGGACTGAGCACACAGGGGGCACTCTCTGTTGCGGCTCGTTGAAGTTGAACGCGGGGGGTTGGACGGGTGGTATGACGAGGGATGTTGACGGTCGTGGCGGATGCGAAGTGTTCGGATGTCTTCCGTGTTGCGGAGCTCATCTAGCAACGTGGTGAGAGCCAGTGATATTTCAGGTTTAATGGAAGCCAAGGTTTGATGGCGTAGTTCAGCTCCGTAGCGTTGTTTAACCAGAGAGGGGAGGTCTGGGTGAAGCATACGTAGCCACAACAGCACGACCATGTTTTCAAGGGACGGTGTAACTTCTTCGTTGGTAGTAACTGCTTCTCCATGGTGAGTAATGTTCCCCACTGTAGTTAATAAGTTGTCTTCCACAGCGGCCGTGAGACGTTGGTACAAATCTTCTGGGCGCTCGTTCGGCTCTTGTTTGATGTTAGCAATTTCAAGGAAAAATCCCCCGGTAGCCTGGAAACCAAAATGGAGGCGAATTGCCTGCCAGATATCAGGCAAAGATGTACTGGCCTTGACAATGCGGTTTCTTGTGATTACGGGGCAGAAGTTCGCCACTTGTCCTAACATCAATTCCAAACTCACCGCCTTCTGCGCCGCCGTTCTGCGTTGTGCCGCTGGGACGCCCTCCCCATCGTCGGTGAAGCCTCGATGTTCCACTCCTGGTGTCCATTTCTTCCATGTGACGCCATCAGCGAGAAACGGGGCGAAACTTTGGTCCAGGGATAAGACGTAGATGAGGTTGCTTTTCCAGTTCTCGAACGAGTTGATGGATTCAGTACGTGTCAAACACCACTGTTTGGGCGCGCGGGCGGTAGCCATTTTGGATGGGAGCGTTCAGTTCTTGTTGGTGAGCCGATCTCTGGGGCTTGGACTAAGTAGGTGAAGCACACGCGGCTGTTCGTCGACAGAAAATCGTGAGGGGAACACTCGTTGACTGGTGTGAGTTCTGTAGGTACACGGGCGTGTTGTCGGGGGAGTCCGAGACGAACGGGATCGGGGAGCGCTTTGGGTGCGGGGCGAGGATGAGGGAAGTTTGAAGAAAGATGGCGGCCGTTTCACCGCCAGCACATGTGCGTCGAAGTTCAAGATGTAGAATTCCGACCTGGGTGCAGGATAGATGACCGATTCCTTCCCACGGTTAAGGAACACTTTGGAGAATTCTGGATTCTGCTTTCCTGGTTGTGGGCATACAGGGTACGGTAGATCTTCCTACGGTTGAGGTCTGGAGGAATTTCGCCAACTCGCTCACGCTGTTGATTGTAGTGCGTTCGAAACAGTGCTGAGTGCCATCCCGTCCTTCTGCGCTGCGTCCCGGTCAGATTACGGCTGGAGACTTGGGTTGACGTTTCCCACGAGCTGTCACCACGTCACTAAGTGACCAAGGACCAACTACGAAGGATCGAGGACGCGAGATGCACTTGGATGCGAACAGCATTTAATCACAACATGGTTGTACACATGGAGTCAGATCTTAAGACTGACCATAGAGGGGATTCACAACCTATGAGCACACGGGCTCAGGGACGGGCATCAAGTGACCCGTGACGTCATACTAATAAACATAACATAGTGGCGCAAGCACCCGTGTGTCTTGAAGATACAAATTCGAAAACCTCCAAATTAAGTCTAGCCTTCTTGCATCTCAACTTCAACCACACCATAAAATCTCAAGTTCAAGTTAACCACAGAATCAGCTGGTTTGCGTTTGTTTCCATCTACCCAACTGACTGGAAGGGAAAAAATCAGGTCATGTTCATTTGGTTCCCATTGCTGTGGGGACCACAGAATTACACCCTCTAACCTCGCTGATTGAAAACAGCATGAGACCCAACAACAGATATCCCTACTGGCAGGCAAGATTTATGTATCTGGAGAAGTCAAAGGGACAGGTTTAGGTAGAAACTTGCCTTGAGGAGTTGAACCAGTAACTTTGTTGGCTCTCAGGAGGGGAAAGGCCAGTGATAGAACTGGTGTTATTCCTGCTCCTCTCTGATAAGGTTATGATAAAATGTCAGGAGGTTTAGAGGAGGGGGATAGGGAGAGAAAGGACCCTGTTGCTAACCCTATGATCATTTTACAAAGAACTGTCAGCTTTCAACAAATATAACAGCTTAATCACCCATACTCAAGGGAAGAGGACATTACTAATCTGTAATCATCACCAGTGGACATACAAAAAAAGGGTGCCAAACATTGTTTTAGCCAGCATCCATAATTCCATCATTTCATTTGAGCAACAAATTTCTGTCAAAATTTTACAGAAATTTGTTGCTCAAAATGGACAGAAATTTTGCCCTGAAGGACAAAAATTGGTGTGTATTAAAAAAAAAGATATGGAATTTCGAAGAGATCATCAAACTAAGCTTACTATCATCCGAGTCATGGTCTGGAGTGCTTGTCACAACCAGTTCCCTTTTTCTTACAAAAAAAGTGAGTTAAATCACACCTGCGTATGCCGAGGTCAGACGTCAGAGCTTAAGATCCTTTTGCTTTTTCTTCAAACGATACTGATCCTCCAAATCCACCATTATTTCCTTTACTACTGGTATACCAACAGTCACTGTTTGGAAGATCTCTGGGGTTCTTTTTCTTGGACACTGTCCATTTCCAGAATTTATTTGCCTTGGGCATTCAAGCATTTGCTCACTGGAATAGACTGCGTGGAATGCCGTTGGGCAAAGATAGTCTGCAATCTCCCCCAACTGCTTGAATCAACAGGCAGACTTGTGACAGAAGAGACCCCTGTCTGCTACCAAAAAAACTGCATCTAGACAGCTTAAAAGATACAACTTGCATGAAGGATTGAACACCAGTGCTGAAGAATGGAACACATATCATGAATTACTCAAAAGAAGCTAGCTTGTACAAATCATTAACTTGTGTAGAGGATGATTTCTGCTAATGTACTTAACTGCATCTGACCAGGCATGAATCCGCTTTGAGCTGGAGATACAAGAGAAGTAATTTATCTACATGACACAACAACATAGGTATCATTATCAAATGAAAACTTCAGCAGAGACCCCTTTCTGCTACTGACAAAACTGCATCAATCCAGAAGGCCAAAACAATAAAAAAAACATTAGTGAATACTGTCATACATTAATGTATTGATGTGGTGTATTTATATTAGAAGTAGAAGTAGAAGTTGTTTCCCAGACAGCTGTTACCTGTCTCCTGTTACTGTGTAATGAGTATTATACTTGATTGTAAAAGCAATTAGCCTTCGGGCATGATTTTGCGAATAAAGTTTCATCAAGCTTTATATTGTCAACCAACTTTAATGCAGTAGAAGCAGAAGACATGTTGACAGCCGATGTCGTGAGGGTTGGTGGGCCACTCCCCGCACACGGCACACTCCCTCAGTTCCACCGGACCTCGCAGGTTTACATCGCTGTCCTGCCTCACCGAACCTAGCAGCTGGTTTGTCACAACATTCTTCCACCTCCTGATGTTGATCAAGGGAAGCAGAAAGAACAGGAACTCCTATGGAAGTCAGAGAAAAGGTTGATAGTATGTGGATAAGTACATAAAACTCACTGTAAATCCATTGTTAGAAATAGATTTTACGGACAGATCAACCTATAAGATATGATTAGCCTTGGGGCCATCCATTTTGTAACAGGGCTTCTTTCACTCATTTAGCTTATATATTAGCTGGGTGCCATCTGTTTTGTTATGGGGCTAACTCTTTTGCGCTGGCTACCCCGAAAAAAATCATGATAGCAAGTGCAAAGGAGCCCCGTAACAAAACGGATGGCATCCAGGCTAAGTGACTGCAATAAGCCCTGTTACATAGCAGACAGCACCCAAGCTAAGATATGAGAGCAAACTCACCGCAAATCCATGCCACAGCAACTCCCTGGTCATGTACTCAAAGCTGACCTGTGGAAACATGAAATACAAAACTGATAAAAACTCCAGCACGACATGCTGCTTCTCACAAATGCTATAATAATGAATAACAGACTGAAATAAACCTGACTATACTTAATGTGGATGGTACCCTGACTAACTTTTTTGTGCTAGGTTTAAGGATGTCAATCACATATATACATGTAGGTCCCAATCAGAATGCCGGCCACAGTGGAGTGGTGGTGTCAATGGAGTGTTTATTTTAAAGTGAGTTTTCAAAAAAATCAAGCTCCGAGAAGCCAGTAATACAACTAGAGAGTCTGGCCATGTCCAGTCAAATTTTTTCAAACAAAATCAACTGAAGGTAGATCACTGTAAGCAACAGCAGCTTTGACAAAGTCCTACAGGTGTTGAAGTTCTTCCCCACCTGTCTGATATCCTGTTTCCTGTTGTAAACAGGCTGTATGGAGAGAGCCCGCTCCAGGAGAGACTGGTACCTGCCCTGCTGGAGGAACACCAGGAAGTTCAACACTGAAGCCACCTTCAGGCAGTTCTCAGCTACTGACAACACCTTAAAAACCTGCACACACAAACAATATATCATCATATTTAGAAATAATGTTTTAATCGATGAATTTTTACATCTGGATACATATTAGAAAATTTAATTCAGATGTTTCAGACACTATATATCCGGTGTCTTGCATCAGTGATATTTTAAAAAACTGTTTACAAACAGTTGGCAAAACTAGATTTTTGAGTTTGACATCAATTTTCTGGTCATTCTTTCAATGTAGTTGAATCAACCCAATCCCATAGATATCATATATAGATATACAGAGGCAAGTATAGGATGTCACTGATGGAAAATGGCTGATTATTTTGTATAGTAGGCTGGTTCTAGCTATTTATGGGTGGTACCCAAACAATAAAGAGACGCTTGCTTGTAGCTTGTTTCAGGGTTATTTCAAATGCTTCAAGTATAAAATGATGACAATTATGTGCTAAAAAATGCCAGTAAGTGTCAATATCAGACATATTTCCTCATCTAGAATATTTTTTTTTAGTCGCCCTGAAATTGCATTGGATTCCGTTAAAGAGTAGTTGAAGTTGTCCTTCCTAAATGTTGTCCTGTTTTACACAGAATGCAGAAAATTGGTCAGGTTGTTTTTCTCCATCACATAAAGTTGCATTTATGACACCACGAAAGAAGATGATGACTTACAATCAAGTAAAATGAAGACGTACAAAAAATTTCCACACTTCCCAATTTCATAATGGACAAAATCTGACAGACAACACAGTTTCAGTAACACATGTTGACATTCCTACACACATCTAGTGACACCTACATGTAGTGTTAACTCCAGTTCATTGAACTCTAATTGAAATGCCGCAGCCTAGGATTGTAGTAGCCAGATTTAAGTACTGAGCTTAACTTTCAAGTACCCAGCTTTAAATTTACAAGTCAAACAACCTTAGCAAAAACCATGTTGCTTAGATTTCTGATTCTAGCTACCGGTAGTAGGAAGCTTTGATGAATTGCAACATCCTTTAATTATACTTTGAAGACAGCGGTTACTACTTTGAATAGTTCTTATAACACTAAGTCTTGTACTGTTCTGTTCAAGTACTGAGCTTACTTTTCAACTACCCAGCTTTACAAGTCAAACAAGCTCAGCAATGATTGTTGTCTAGAAGATTTCTGATGCTAGAAGAAAAGTAGTAGTAGGAAGCTTTGTTGAATTTCAACATCCACTAATTATACTTTGAAGACAGCGGTTTTACTGCTTTGAAAAGTTCTCAACAGTTGTACCGACGCCTGTGTCCATGGAAACCATGCCGTCAACAATGAACTTTTTCTTCCTTTGAGTTCTATTCTTCTGTCTTTGTTTCTCTACAACCCTTTGTCCCATGTGTTTGCTTGGGTTTTAAAGTTTAAAGCCCAACCTGAGTCACACATTGAAGCTAGCGGTAGTATTTAACACACCATCAAATTGGCGACACCCAACAAGAATACGGCGTCTTGTTCTCCGAGCACAAATTACAGACCTCTCTGGTGTCGATGCTGTTCTTTTGGGTCATTTGCAGCGAATTACCGACTCTGAAACACTGTAATTTCGGGGGCTGTTTAAAAAATTGCACTAAGTATAGGGCAACTGTTTTACAGCAAGACTTTAACCCCATAGTACTTCTGTAACATCTAAGGTGTCATGTTGAAGTAATTGAAATTTTATGTCCATGAAGAGATGGAAAAAAAGAGGGAGGGACTGAAAACTTTTCTGAAACTTCTTACTTTACCTAGACCGGTGTTCTTAAAATCAGCACTTTCATTGAAACAATGGGAAATTTTAATGCAATTCAAGGATTTTCTAATCTGCACTGAAATGGCCTTATAGGCTGGACCAAGTGACTCACATGTGTTCACTTGAAAATGATACAGTACAGCATCTTTCCCATATATCACTCTACTTTTCAATTACTCGTACGACATCTATTCATCAATTTTGCCATGTTTTCTAACAGGTAACCTGCATCTCAACCATGTACTTTTTCATTAAAAAAATACACTGGCACTGGCACATATAAAAGACAATCTTAATGGAGTATTAAACCCCAGGCTTGGTCTTTAAAGTTTAAAAGCCCAGGCAAACACATGGGGTAAAGAAAGGGTTGTCCAAAAATGATAACAGAAAACAAAATATCTTACGTCAGACTCTTGGAACGTAGTTGTAAAAATTGTGTCAAAGACTATAAGGCTTCTGTAATAACTTATATCCAAGGTGAAATTACCTTTTTTTAAAAATCAAGATTGCAACAATGCAGTACAATGGAAACCAAGGTAGATTGGCTGATTTTCAGCTCTACCTCAAATTTTCAGCCCAAACACCTGGCAGCTGTGAATTGCTCTGTGACAGAATGTAACTTTAATTTTTGGGACTTAACTTAAATTTCCAGGATTTAACTGTGATTCCCAATGTAACAGAAAATTTGGACTTACACAAATTTCACTTGTGCTGTTTGATCAGTCGGAAGTTTGGGTTTTGTCCCACTTTTACCTTTGTGTTGGTCAAATTACAGTTAAATCCTGCTAGAGAATAAATTCTACCGACACAGATGAACAGATAACAGTGCACTGCTGATGTTGGGAAGTTGCATACATCAACTCAAAACAGCTCTGCAGACAGGTAAGCAGAAAGGTACATGTAATAAGTATTTTTTGACTATTTTCTCTAACAGCTACTACTAGTGCCACTGTTGAAACTTAACTCTAGGACAACACTTTAAACTGGGTTAACTGACACCCTTTTTAGTTGTTACTCTAAACGGTTTAAACATTTTTTGTCCGGTTGCCAAGTTTTCACCCTTCTGCGATACTCCAGACAGGTTTACATGTATTAAAAAGACCACTTTGCCACCGTAAACCACCTTCTCTACTTGATCTTTGACCCATGATGCTAAAAGCAGCACTTCGGCCAAGGCTAATTGTTTAAAGTGTGTCAACATACAACTTCATACTATGTAGTTATAGCTGCTTGCTACAAGGAAACTACCTAGCCTGTGGCCATGTAGGGCAGTTTCTAAGGACAAAAATTATGATATAAAAGACAACACCAAAATCTAGTGGAAAAACTAATCATGAGTACTATTTGTATATATTATTGATATGGATTGTTTATTCATTCACGCAAGCAGCCCGACCAGGCCCCGGTTTGGACATGTGCCAATGTGTAACTTTCTTCACACCGATATAATATTTTTGGCGACATGCGACACATATTTTCCGCCTACCGATTGAAACAGGGACACGCGGCCGGTCCAGCCGGCCAGGTCATGTGACCGATCCTGTAGCCACTTCCCGCCAACCACGATAAGCGCGTAGAGAAGTTTCTGTCGGTCCGTTAGTCCGGCAGACGGGGACAGGCTCCCGCTGTATCTCAGGTTCAACAGTTTCTGTCCGACGGTCGCACTCGCAGTGTGGATGGTAAACTGTACAGGGGAAAAACAACAACTTTAAATACATAGCAGATAGCTGGCTGGCTGGCATGAAATACTTTCTGTTTACTGCCATAAGTAGTTCTTCATACCAAGCATGGATTCTCTTCATTAGCTTGCCAGATTACAAGATGTTAAGTATTTTTTTTACTTTATTTATTCATGTCCATATTCTTTAGCTGGGTATTTCAATATAATAGAGACTTGAGCAATAGAGAGACAGGATCTTGTTCTGTTTAACTTAAGTCTTTCATGAAATGGAAAATGTTTCATTAAGACAAGTCTACAAGAGCCATTCCTTGCTTACATTTTTTGCTACGGAAAACAGCATAACACCCATCCCTTTGCTATTTCTTTTTCAAGCATCTAAACAAAAAAAAAAGTCGTTCTTTTAATCAGAATCATTCTTTTTGAGATATTCCTTGGAATCACAGAGTTAACAAGAAAACTTTACAAGCATTTGCACACACTTAGCAGTTACACATTTAAAAAATGTAAATTGGTTGAAAAAAAGAGTATGTACATGTCTGTCAGTATAACAGTGTTAGCTTGAACATTGTCACTAATAAATATGATTAAAAAAAGGTTAAACACTGTACAAACAGTGTGTAAAGTTTTGCCACATGAGGTCATGTGGAGAGAGGGATTCTTAGATCTGCGGATAACAGACGTGTTTCCTGCATGACGTGACATGACAGGAGCTGTCAGGTGTCACACGTTGGGTTGTCAGGATAAATGACAGGTACCGACGCTACCCACTGCTTGATTGACACCTGTCGTCCCTCATCAACAACTGGGAAAAAAACATGCTTTACCTTACACTGGTGTTTGTCAGGATTAAGTATAATTCCATCTGGAAGTGGGAAAAGAAATAGACCCAGGAGTGTCTTGATTCAAGCTTTTTGGGGCATGCATTTATGTATTAGTGACACGGCACTGCACATTTTGTTGGGTAAGCTTTGTAAGAGTTTGTATTTTCCTGATTTGCTACAAGTTCTTAAGCCTTTCTTTATTAACAATCATACCCAGAATCTATCTCACAGATACAGTCCAGAATAGCTGTCATACAAATGACAGAAAAAAGGTTGACCATGCAGCCCCAAAGTGAAAAAAATAAAAGCTGTTCTGTACTTTTGTGTACACATGGCATCCCTTAAATGTCTGTATGATGCTCTGTCCATCTAAATACCCCCCAGGGTCTCCATTATGCTAATTCTGATCTACGTGACTAATTACAGGTAAGCCGTTCATTACCGGACGCTACCTTTTAATTAGGGTCAAGACACGACCTGACGCTTCTCCACGATACAAACATTCCAGCAAACCTCCCCACTCGTCCAACGTTTCTATGGTTACGGCATGAACGTTTGCTGGCATGTCAACAGTATGCGATGTGACGTACAGTTTAAATCTTCTGTGAGGATACCTATAGAATCTAAGGCTAGGAATTGTAAAATAAACAAACGCAGCCACTGCTCTGTGCACCAATCACAGTCTCCCATGGTCCCTCGGGATGGATTACCATAAACTCTATTGAGAGGTGAGAAAAATGACTTGGGGACATGTTTGAATAAGCCCGTGTGGGACCTTTAAATACCCTTGGCTGGCACCGGCGACCACTCACTCACTCCAGGCCCTGTCAGAGTGCTGGCCGGCTGTTACCCCTGCTCCGTACACCTACGCTGAGGGAAGAGAGGAACCATGAGCACACGTTACACCTCCCGCTCTCGTGAGCGCCACGATTCTGTGGAGACGCCGCCGCCGTCCCCCAGCATGAGCGATTCCGAGTCGCGGATCACCCGACGTCGACTGGTGGGTGGACGTTTTATTTCCTACTTTCTTGTCTCCCAGGTGTTTGTACATGGTAATGACCAGCTGGGTAAATAAGTTACAGTGGGACGCTGGCAGGGAGCCAAAGGGGAGTTACCCACCGGACTGACAGGCAAGACCTTCCCTCCTTCTCATCTTCTACCTAAACCTTTTACTTACCTGTACACCTTGTGTAACCCTTCAACACCTTTTATCAATGGACATCGTGTTATCTGTGCATTTACCTACAGCAGAGAAGGAATGTGGTTTCATTTACGAGGAGGGCATAGGCAAAGTGGATCCTGCAAATATAGTTATGCGTTATGTGATATACTATGTCATCTTGATAAAGCTTGCTAAGCTTGGTGCTTTCAGAACTCAGGAACGGCTACTTGTTTCTGTTGTCCGTTAATTTTTCAGAAGATCCCCTAGGCTTTGCGTTAGCGTGAAATCCTATACCAAGATAGCGTCACTGTCCTACATTTCTATAGCGTTCTCTGTTTGACGCTTGGGTCTTTTAAGATTTTAATCTGTCCGCCTTAGGACTCGGGACAAGACAGTTAGACAATAGGGTTGTATTTGTCCAAGAATTTTGTCCTCTCTCCATTGCAGTTATGCGATACACCTGTAACACTGGTGGTGTGTAGGTACAACAGGGCACGCCTACCTTACAGGTGTTCATTTGGCTTCTGCTTGTTACAGAATAGAAACAATTGTTTTCTGTAGGTGAACAATGTCTTTTGCAGACAACAAAGATCTTCTATATAACATGACCATCATATATGCCAGCTCTGCTGTAAAAAGTGACAATTTTCTGTGTAAAATGAGTAATTTTTCAAGATCTGAAGATGTTACTTGTCTAGTAGGTCCAATCTTTCCCTTTTTAAATCATTTCTTATGTAAATCTTATATCAAAAACACAGTGGAATCAGACACAGTGGCGATCCCTAGAGGAACAGACACTACTGCGGACACCCTTCCCCCTGGTGCATTGTTACCAGACCAAGTTGTACACTTCAAATTTGCAAGTCAAAAGTCACCCCACTTATTCCTAAACCTGTAAGCACAGGTTTTTGCCCGGGGCTGGCAGAATTTGTAGCGGTACAGTACTATAGTTAAAGCTCAAATCATCAGGTACAAATTTTAATCACCTTCGAGCCTTCAGATCTGGGGCTTTTACAGAATCTTGATTGTGTTTTAACGAGCGGTTGTGGAGTAATTAATATCCAAGGGTGTCTGTCTAGGTGTCAAAAGAACAGGGAGGGTGGGAGGTGTGGGTGACTGGAATAACAACCCGCCAAACAAGTCCAAAGGTGGCAAAGCGTCCCCGGAAATTGTGGGTAAAAGCATCAGGAATTTACTGCCATTTGTGCACTGGTTTCTGTCAGACAATTTGGGGTGGGAGAGAAGAGCAACACTGGTGGTAAACTTAATTAGGACAGAGATCTGAGGTGCCGTCAGGGTTACCTGGGTACAAAATGGGACGCCATAAATGTTCTGATGGACACATACAAAGCCCATATAGAGCAACTACTCATAAACAAGGCCCTGCATTAAGATTTAAAGCCCTTTAAACAACAGTCCACAGGGAATTTAAAACAAGACAAATATTTCATAAAGAACAAAAATCCTGTGTTATCAAAGGATTTACTTCAATGGAACTTTCCACTTTGGATATCAATGACTCCAAGAAATTTATCAAGACCATACTTTTGTATCTTGCCCTACAGTTTGCTATGTGATATCTAATTAAGTCATGCAGATGTTAAGTCAATATTTAAGGCAGCTCCTAAAATCCCTATTGACTTTAAATTGAACTACAAAGGTTGTGATACTTACATTGCTATGTTGTAGTTTCGGAAAATCTCCCGCAACCTAATATGTGGCTATGATTAGCCAGCAACACATAGATAAAACAGAGTAACAAGTCAATGAGGCCAATGAACTGATAAGTTATCTTTCCAGACAATCCCCAAGTTTGTTGCTACCTTGTATCCATTCCACTATTGCCACTTTGTAGTTGATTAGTTACGTATAGAATTTTGTACACTACCTTTGCTATATATAGTAGTGCTGACCAGTAGCTGGGTCAAATGAATAGCTGTCTACCTCTTCAAAATTTGTGGTAACATCTTTGGAAATGTGTATTCTTGCCAGCTTTATCTTATTAGTGTTGAATATAATCTAAATCCAATCACTGAAATGATCATTTTATGATCTAATTCTAACTCATACTGTCTGGCAGAGAGTGAGAGAGAAATAGAAAGGTAACATTCATTAGTTTTGTACCTACGTACCTTAAAAACACATTGTAACTTTACTGACAAACGGTGGCCTTGTGGCCTTAGTATGCAAGTGTGCAGGTGGTCCTCTAACCCCTTGACCAACATTAAAAAAAAACCTGCCTTGACCCATTCTTCAATGGCTATGCCGTTACCTGGTAACACAGGTATTCAGCCTTCCCACCTGTATGCTACTTTGAAGACTATCGTTATAACCTCGTCTTTCACTCCAGCTCAAGAAGAGGCTAATAAAACACCTGTTGACTCTGTCAACTTCTTTGTGTCAACTTGACAAGACCATTCAGATGAATACAGTTGGACCCAAGCTCATTAATTTTCTTTAAAAAGTCTGTTTTTTCTTGATCTGACTTTAAACCTTATGTTTGGGGAAACCAAGGACCTATCATTGATGAAAGCTCCTTTGAGAAACAAAGCTTTGAACACCATGTATCTCGGGGTCACAATATTACCAATGTAAATGGTGATTTTTTTTTGCTTTTTGCTTTTGCCACAAGATAAAGCCTTCTCAATGTTTCTACAGTTAGTAGTAACTCATTCTTTTCTTGTGACCTTTATTTTTGCCTTTAAAAATACAGCCCCCAGAAATGCTTTTCATATCAATATAAACAACTGAACTTACATGTATAAATCACAAAACATATCAAAGGCCCCTATCTATTCATATTATCTCTATCACTAAAGACTTTAGTAAAGTAGAAACATATCACTTACCTTCCAAAGGAGAAATCTCAGGCAAGCATTTACTTCTGGTTCAACTCTGGCCAGGATTCCAGGCTATAGGAGTGATAGAAATATATACAATATACATGTACACTTAAATTATACATCTAAACAAACTTTCCTGATGTACATGTATGATACTTAGCTAACTTGCTGAGCTTCCTTTTCTCTGTGTCCAACTTGTTACTTTTCTTCACAGATTACAATGTCCTGATTGGTAGAAATACTGTTATTTCCAATCTGGCAAAAACTAGTTGTCAAGAAACTTATTATAATGCTCATAACAACTGTTCTGCTTGAGTGCAGGAAAACACAGCCATACTTCACCAATTTCCTTCCTTCGGTGACAAAATTGTTTGAAATTGTAGCCTCTATACCTTAAATATAGGGCTTATACTCAGTAATACTTATGCATTTTTTTTTCTAAAAACAGTAGACTGCACACTAAGTGTACAGTACAGTAGTAAACTGAACATTGTAGTCAAAAATCAAATTAAGACCACCGGCATGCGTGGTGTCTGGCATCTAATACTTGTTCGTACTTCGATAGCAATGTGTTAGCTCTGTAACCTTGCATTGGAGAAATTGGTAGACCTAAATTTGTCTTCTTGGGCATTGATGGATCATCGTAGATACAACTGGCATGCCAAAAGAAAATAAGCGAGCAATTTTGATGAGCATTACAGAAATAGAAATTGTGCAGCACATTGACGCACTTCCCTAGACTTAGATTAGAATAAAGCCTGTTACCTTGAAGTACTGGAATAATCGTGACACCTGTGACTTGAGATGTTGGAGGATGGCACTGTCTAACTCTGCTGCATCCAGCTATAACGTCAAGAACAAATGTGAAGACAAACAAAAAATCAATATGTGAAGGATAAACTACAGGACTTGACAGTTACTAGTAGCATCAGTAGTGCAAGGAAGAGCTTCAACAATAAAGGTAGTTCAGTGTGGGTACAGAAAGTTGGCCTTTTTCAGCAGACGACAAAATCTCAAGTGACCACGCCCCCCTCAAAAAAAATATATATATTGCATAATTTGCATATTTTCCGGCATATCATAATACTTTGTTTAAGCCATATTCCTACAAGAGTAAAGTAAACATAGGAGTTTTGTTGCCACTGTGTGCAAAATGGAACCAGAGCTCAGATGTTTATGACCTGCAACTGCAAAGGATTGCTAACAAGTGTAAAATTTTGCATTTTTTAAACCCAAAACAATTGCCTTAAACGAGTGAAATACATGCAAAACACAACTCGATATGGTTGTAGAAGTCTTCTTATGCTTCTTCAAGGGCATGTAAATGAGTAATAACGAATAGAAAAGCGAAGAAACGACGTTTCACCTGGCTAACTCTCAGTACAGGTGGAATATCATCCTCACTTGCCGCCATCTTTGATCAAGTAGCCATGAAATGTAAAACAAATTCTGATTGGCCAGTGCTATTTACAGTAAACCAAAGAATCATACAAAGCATTTCAAACCATCCAAACCTTCCCACGTAACTTCTCTGAAATCTTAAAATCAGAAAAACCTCGTCAACTTGAAAGTATATGTACATTTGTGGCTTAAAATGTTCGTTGTTTACGCGACCTTCCCATATGGCACAAGCCAATCAGAGTCGAGATAACTTCTCAAAGCCATTGACCCTTGACCTGTAAGGAGTATTCAAACTCACAACCGGCTTGGACGGAGCCTCGGACCGCACTGAAGGAAAGGGTCAGCCGCATTTCGGTGCTACACTGCGGCGATTTGTGCCAAATTTTGGGAGGGAATGTGCCATATAGCCTAAGTGAGCTTATCTTCAAAGGTAGGGTTATATTCTGGTGAGTCTATGCCTATGGGTGATCGTTTCTTTGTGTGAAATCCGCCCCCCTCCCAGCCTAGACAACAACAAAGTCTTGTTTGCATGCACCAATACCAAGGACGCTATGAACGATCTAGCTTGTGTAAATCTTGTTTTTGAATTTTAATACCGCATAAAAAGTACTGTCAGGATGCAGAAATCATTGCAATTTTCTGTATTTGTGATTTGCATGCACATATTTGATCATATCCGGATATCCGTATATGGCATATGCCCTTTAATTATTTCCAAGTTTATGATGTAGCGTTGAACAGTTAATTAGTTATTGGTAGTAGTAGAAATGAAGTGCACTAGAAATATTTATTTTCTTTCACGATTTTTATTGGCTTCTTTTTTTAATATTAAGTATCTTACTAAATTATGTTTGAACAGTGTATCACCTGTTAATTTATCACATAACTGATAAATGGCTTAATCAAACATGTTGTGTTTCTTCAGTGTTCTATGCTCAGCATCATATATTGATGTGTTCTATCCTTTATTACCATATTTCTTTGTAGTTTGTAGTAGTTATAGTAGCAGATACTTACAAATACTAATTTTTGTAAATGAGATGCATGCATTAAAATCTACGACGTATGTGCCATTTTCTCTCATTATAACTGAAGCACTCACTGCCTCTAGCCTTTGAGACTTAATGTTACTTCTATAACCATACACTACACTATTGTTCAACACTCATCATATGTTGCTGATGTTTGTATTATGCTCTCTTTAAAGTATATATTCCTGAATCAGTTTAAAGTTCTTTAGATTTGTTTCACAGTATACAGTAGTTGTACAAGGGCAGACAAAATGCAGACAAGTAAACTTGTATCTGTCAGTGTCAAAAGCAAGACACACAAGCAGATTATCCAGCTAGACAATGGCTGATCTCCAAAGTACTTGCTCAATAAGATTATGCTGATCCTAAGTATTCCCTCAATGTTACACGTTACGTCAACGCATTCCCATAGCCTGACATGATGTGATTAAATGCACAGATCCAAATTTGATTCTTTCTTTACATATTTACCAGACCTGAACTTTGCTTTGCATGTCATTACTTGTCACGGGTGGGCTAAGAAACGTGATGCCCTGAAAACAAGTTTTCCTTTGACGCATTTTAATCCATTAGAAATATCTGCTCTTGCCTTAATCAGCATTGTGTATGTAGCCAATGGTTTCTACATGTTTCAAATGGCCTCACAGGCACAAGTTGTCAGCTAACTGTTAATGATGACAAGATGACGGATTAGGGGCTTTGTGATGTTTGGAGTCAACATTGGAGCACATCGCACCTGGTCGGGATTGACTAACAATGGCGCTATTATTATCACACACTGACAAGAAACCCTACAGTCTGTTTTCTCTAGATCGTGCACTGATTCTGCATTGAAAGAATACAACCATTATCACTTGTAGACAACTTCCTGCAATAGACAGAAGAATGCATTGTATGTTTGAAATGTGACAGACAGCGACAGAATTGAAGATTCTCGATCTATGATAATGTTTATTTAAAAATCAGAAAAGCAACAACACTTGTAAGGTTATATTCTTGGTTGGATGAATTTCAATTGTAATGTCTGGTTTAGAATTAGGTTATGCCAAAGTAAAGTAGGGCAGACCACAAAAACAAAACGGAACAAGGATGCTGTCAATTAAGTGTATACCTCCCTGAACAATCAATTTGCAGACAAGTACTTTGTCATGCAAGATCTTATTACTTTAATTGTTTTCATAATGTCCGTGGTGAAAATTCACTTACTGCTATGTAGGTCAACAAATCTGTGTGGTTGTCTCCTGAGCTTTGCCTCTTTAAGACATAAGCCACACGTAAGTGCTTAGCGAGCAAAGATCCATAGATGTAACAAGAGAGTTTTTCAAATTGAACAATATCTCAGATCTAACGACTTCTCTAGACAAATACTACACTTTGTTTTGTATCAGAAGGAAAAGAAAACAATTGCCCCGCACAACTGAAGGGGTAAGAGAAAAAAGGAAAGTCGGAAATCTGATTCCCAATTGTATGCTTTACAATAGGCACGTTAGAAGATTCAGTTTCATGTCAGTGTACCTTGTAATAGCAGTATATTGTGTCCCAAGTTGTCTAGTCTAGACGTCGTACAATGTACCATTGCCAGGTTGCCAGGGTTGGTTGTTACTGGAGACTTGTACAACCAGCCTTAATCTGTTTTGCTATATTTTCTTTAGGACTGTTTACATACTGATAGCAGCATTTGTACGCCCAATGTTCGTGACAGCTACAACAAACAATGTTTAGCGTCCCCTCTGCGCCAAGCGTGCTCTCCCTCGCTATATAAGTTTCACACCGTCGCAGATCCATAGATCCAGGGTTTGTTTCCCAAACAGAACCTTTAAGATATTATAAAAGGATCATTTTGAACCTTAAAGCTGAAGAGGTGTAACCGTTGAGGTCAGCTACAGTCCACCTGCAGCACTGCTGGCAGTTAGAGAAACGACAGGTAATCGTTTGACCCTGCTCAAAGGTGCTGTGTGCTTTCTCGCCCCTGGCTTCATTTGCATAACCGTAATCGATGTACCAATACTTGCCCCAGTGAGATAGTGTTCACAGGTCAGTCAGGGGTATGTAACGCTGATCTAAAAGAAGATTCAATGGTGTAACTGTAAATACCATATGTGTGTGTAAAATACCAGGGGCCAAGATCTTCCTTCTTGCATTTATATAATTGTTTAAACTTGAGCAGTTAGATTTATTACAATGTCTAATCAATAGATAACTTTATAACAGACTTTGGGAGGCTAATCTAGAGCTAGATGGACTCATTCATGCTGGTTTTATTTTTTTACAATGCAGTATTTAACAGCAAAAGAAAACATTTCAACCCTTTTAACTGTAGTTGATTGCAATAAGCCAAAGATGGACACAAAGTTACGAAACCATAGGCAATTCAACAGTATTTTTTTAAAATGCAGGAATCACCACAGTTTTGTAGTATTACAGAACATGCCAGTAGTCAGACAGTCCTATAATGAATAGTCTATTTCGGCTGTATACAATACACATGTACTTACCCTTGATGAAGGCATGTTATTGTTAAGGGAGCATTTAAAAGAGACTGTGTTCTGTGCACATATTATATTATTGGTCAAAACTATTGATTACGTTGCAAGCCGTTGCACCATCTGTTGCATCCCAAGAACTCCTACGCACAAGTCCTGGACATGTCCATTTCCATGTACATGTAGTTGTTCTGTGGGCTCTTCAACATCAAGTTCACATTAGCGACTGGATAGCAGTACACAGTGTCAATCATTGGATGTGAACAAATACTGGGATATCCCTATCAGTCCCTATTCTTAGTACAGCTGTAGATATATTACAGCAGCATTGTTGGTTGGCAGTCACCCCCACTCTAACTGGGGCATGTGGCTGCCCTGGCACTCGACCAAGGCTACGTCCAGGCTATGCATTCTATGTGAGTTATGGTGGGGCCAGTTGATGCCGCATGAAAATGTTTTGTATGAAACTTGAGATGCACGTCACATGGAGCACCCCTCCCCTGGTATACACGTCGTAACGGGAACATACCAGTGAGGACTCTCGCCTGTCCTGAACCGTAACAGCCTTCAGAACAGGAGCAAGCGTAGTTAGATGGGTCGTTTAGCAAGAACCATGTAGTGTGACGTTGTGCTCCAGCATGGATTCCTACTCCTTCTACTTCTGTGCTGGGGAGAGAAGGCGTTTTTTGACCAAGCTACACAGCGCAGGATGGGTAAGTCAGATCAGAGAACAGAACTCAGGCATTGTTGTCTTTAGTTTTAAACCCACATCACTGTTCTTGTTGTTTACAACTATATGTAAAAAGGGCACAAGACCTGCCATCTACCATGATCTAGATTGAAGATGACGAGGTGTTGACATAGAAGTCAAACCAATTCTGGTCCATTGTATTTGGGTACAGCCAACATGGATAATTTGTTGCAGTTCAGACTGATTCTACTAGAGAGCACTGCTCTCTCAGTGTGTTATACTGTAGGCTTGAAGCTTTCTCAAAATTCTGGGATAATTGGAAGAATGGTTATTTGCTCAACCCTGTCATTATTCTGTCATATAAGGTACTATGGTATTTAGGAGAAACCAGTTGATGCAGTGCCGTTTAGTTTTGCTAGAGTGCTCTCTTGTACCGTGCAGGTGGAAAACTGCAGCTTCTATTTTGGATTCACTCGACTACTCCTTCAGTTATTTTATCATTAAGAAAAGAAAGTCTGTTTTTGTTACCACAACATGAAACCGAGAGAGAAAAAAAATACTAGTATTCTTAACGAAAACGGACGATTCCTTGTTTTTGCGGCAAACATGGGGTAAAGTTGTTTTCAACGTTGTTCTTGTCACAAGCAATTCATTGGAAAAAGTTAATGGTGTCTAGATGTAGATATTGTCTGGAGCAAAAGAATCTGATGAAAGGCCATTTTATTGTACTTTCAGTATTTCATTCAAGATCTGACATCCTGTATTGGAAGGATGTTTTTCAAAAGTTGGCATGGCTACAACAACAACACAATGAGACAATTACACATTCATGGGAAGAGAAGCTTGCCAACAATAATTCAGTCATCAAGTTATTTTTACAGTGCTATTACATGTATTAGGATTCTGTGAAATATTATATATTATTATTTCAATTCTGGATATCATGACTGCAAGATGAAATTGTGTCAAGGATTGCTGCAATGTCATATTCTA